CATTTTTATTTCGATTTTTTCCAATTAATTTCTGAAGTAACGTCAATATTTGGCTGAAAATTCGTGTCTGGGTGTTTTTTGACATGAGAAACTTGATTTTGAGGTCAATATGACTCTTATTTGTAGGGGGCGCCACATACATGTGTTTTAACTGTTTTTAAAAGTAATAACTTTTCGCCCATACCTGTATAAAACTACTGAGTAAAAAAATATACATTTTCTTGACTTTTTACGTAAAAATATCTCTCGGTAAAATCGCTACGAGCAACCTTTCTCAAGATATTTCGAATGGAAATAGTCAATACATGTCATTATTGACAAAAAAAATAAACATGTTGAGTAGATAGATATTTGGTTGAAATAATAAATGTGGGAAATTTTTATTTTTTTAAATTAATTATAAATTTTTCTGCGGAAAAATGATGATAAAACAGTTTCTGTTGAACTTTTGGCAAAAAACATTTCAAATTTATGATTTCAGACTAGTAACTATTTAGTACACATGTTTAATATATGTCAATGATGACAGGTATTGATAATTTCGATTCCCAATATCTCGAGAACCATTACTTGTAACAATTTTTACCAACAGACCTTTTTACGTAAAAAAATCGTTATAAATGAATATTTTTTCACTCAGTAGTTTTATAGTACGTATACTCAGTAGTACGGACGAAAAGTTATTACTCTTCAAAACAGTTAAAACACGTGTATGTGGCGCCCCCTAGAAATTGGATTTATATTGACATCAAAATCAAATTTCTCATATCAAAAATCTCCCAGACACCAATTTTCATCAAAGTATTAACGTTACTTCATAAATTATTTGGAAAATATCGAAATAAAAATGATACTTCTACTCCCTGTATCTCCGAAACTAAGCATGTTAGGACATTTATACGAACTTTTTTACTTATTTTTATCTGCAAAATATGCTGCCAAAGTTTCCGGAATCACCCCGTATGTAAAGGTCATATTGAAGAAGAATCAAAGTATAAATAAATAAAAAAATTTAAGCGTCGTAATTGTCAAATTTGACATTTTCAAGAATTTTAAAATTCGAAAATTGTAAACTGGATGAGTCACTTAAAATAATTCTAAAGATTTCATTTTTAAATGCACTGTATATCGAAAACGGTAAGTGCAAAGTATACTAAACTATATATTTTTGAAATTAGCTAAAATATGTCTACCGGACCATTCTAAAATATGATGGGGTTTCCATTTAAAAAAAATCAAGATGGCGTCGTATCTGTCAAAATTGACGTTGTAAAAAATTTTAATGTAGAAATTCGGCATCCTCGCGAAAATTTACATTGAAATATCTTTTTACTATCTTAAAATAGAAAAGAGGAAAAGTTTAAATTGGGTGAGACACTTAAAATGATTCTGGAACAATTCATTTTTAAATGCACTGTATATCGAAAACGGTAAGTGCAAAGTATACTAAACTATACATTTTTGAAATTAGCTAAAATATGTCTACCGGACCATGCTAAAATATGTGGGGGTTTCCATTTAAAAAAAATCAAGATGGCGTCGTATCTGTCAAAATTGACGTTGTAAAAAATTTTAATGTAGAAATTCGGCATCCTCGCGAAAAATTTACATTGAAATATCTTTTACTATCTTAAAATAGAAAAGAGGAAAAGTTTAAATTGGGTGAGACACTTAAAATGATTCTGGAACAATTCATTTTAAATGCACTGTATATCGAAAACGGTAAGTGCAAAGTATACTAAACTATATATTTTTGAAATTAGCTAAAATATGTCTACCGGACCATGCTAAAATATGTGGGGGTTTCCATTTAAAAAAATCAAGATGGCGTCGTATCTGTCAAAATTGACGTTGTAAAAAATTTTAATGTAGAAAATCGGCATCCTCGCGAAAAATTACATTAAAATATCTTTTTACTTTTTACTATCTTAAAATCGAAAAGAGGAAAATTTTAAATTGTGTGAGACACTTAAAATGATTCTGGAACAATTCATTTTTAAATCCACTGTATATCGAAAACGGTAAGTGCAAAGTATGCTAAACTATATATTTTTGAAATTAGCTAATATATGTCTACCGGACCATTCTAAAATATGATGGGGTTTCCATTTAAAAAAAATCAAGATGGCGTCGTATCTGTCAAAATTGACGTTGTAAAAAATTTTAATGTAGAAATTCGGCATCCTCGCGAAAATTTACATTGAAATATCTTTTTACTGTCTTAAAATAGAGAAGAGGAAAAGTTTAAATTGGGTGAGACACTTAAAATGATTCTGGAACAATTCATTTTTAAATACACTGTATATCGAAAACGGTAAGTGCAAAGTATACTAAACTATATATTTTTGAAATTAGCTAAAATATGTCTACCGGTCCATGCTAAAATATGTGGGGGTTTGCATTTAAAAAAAAATCAAGATGGCGTCGTATCTGTCAAAATTGACGTTGTAAAAAATTTTAATGTAGAAAATCGGCATCCTCGCTAAAAATTACATTAGGAAATCTTTCTACTATCTTTAAATACCAAACAGGAAAATTATAAATCGAGTGAGACACTTAAAATGATGTCCCTGTACATACCTATTTACTTCTTTATGTTTGTATATGGAGACCACTGTTTTTTTGTCTATCTATTTACATGTTTATACATTTAGTGTTTCATTGATGGTATTGTATTTTGTTTGTGTGTTTGGTAAATGCCATAAGCTAAATAAATAAATAACTTTTTCAAAAATTAAGAATGAACTGCTTTGTCAAAGGTTCCAATCCTCAGAATGTGCAGTCAGCGCCTTCATAAACGCAATCTTGAAGGTACCAACAAGCGAGTGGAATAACTGCTTCCAGAATTGGTTCCAATGGATGCAAAAATGCATTTCTCTTCGTAGAGAATATTTCGAAAATCAATAGAGTTTAAAAGTTATCTACCTCTATATGCAACATATACAGGGTTGTTCACCACATACGACACGGAGTATTGTAGCTAAACGATGAGACTTTTACAAATTGTAAGTTTTGGGTTCGATGAAGGACTATTAGAGGTACAATTTAAAAATAATTTTACAAGATACAGAGTGTCCCAAATAAGTAAAAAATATCAAAGTTGTATTTTTTTAAATGGAACACCCTGTATATTATTACATTTTTAGTTTCTACGATTAAAATAAAGGTAAATTTGGTTTTTGAAATATTTTCAATTTTGTGAAATTGCAGTAAAAATTTTAAGGCTTCATTTCTCCAAGAGTATCAAAGTTTTTAATACTAAATATTTACTGAAGTTTATTTACTGATCAGTTATTGTGTTGCAATAATAAAAATAATACTACCTTATACAGAGTGTCTAAAAATTTATTTTAAATAATTATTAGCTTCAAACGGCAATAACTTGTTTAATTTAAATGGAACACCCTGTATATTTTACTAGAATCAGATGCACAATTTAATTGTCTATCAAATTATATTAAACCATTTTTTACCTATCTCTTTAAGTTTCCGTAGAAAATGCATTTTCTTGTAATTTAGAACTTATTTATCAATATACCCATGGACTATTGACATTTTAGGTCATTTTTAAAGATGTACCAAATTTTTAAAGAGTACAGATACTAATATTGTCGATATAATTCGTTTATTTCATTAAAAAATAAAAAAAAAACTGTTTAAATATTTGTTAAAGAGGACCAATTAATATGATGCCGTATTCAAACTACATTAACTGACTGTTTGCGTTGATTAATAATAATTGCTCCAAATACTAAAAAACTGAATTTTGTATGGGCATTAGATAGTGTGATAAAAAGTAACACCTTAAAAATGATATTTCATTTTTTAATAAATGCTTATTTATAACAACAAAGACTTTAATTTGATAACTTATTATTATATTGATTTCTGACTCAAAAATCCACATTTATTTATAATAATTTATTAACGAACACAATTAAGTATGTCATTAATTAGTATATGGGCGGAAATAATGGTGTTATATTTAATTAATGGTATACTCTTTTATAAAGATATAAATAGTTTTCTTTTTGCATACAAATGGACTAGTAATCGTTTTGCTAAAAAATAGTAATATAATCGTTTTTGCTAAGACTAGTAATATTATCGTTTTGCTAAAAACGATAATATTACTAATTTTGTACATTTGTTGCTTTAAAAACAATCTAAAATGTCAATATTCCATGGATATATTGATAAATGAGGTCTAAAGTATAAGAAAATGCATTTTCTACGAAAACTTGAAGGGATAGGTAAAAAATGGCATAATACAATTTGATAGACAATTTAATTGTGCATCTGATTCTCCTAAAATATACTGGGCATTCCATTTAAATTAAAGAAGTTATTGCCGTTTGAAGCTAATAATTATTTAAAATAAATTTTTAGACACTCTGTATAAGGTAGTATTATTTTTATTATTGCAACACAATAACTGATCAATAAATAAACTTCATTAAATATTTAGTATTAAAAACATTGATACTCTTGGAGAAATGAAGCTTTAAAATTTTTACTGCAATTTCACAAAATTGAAAATATTTCAAAAACGGTAAGGTTTAAGTATAATAAACCTTAATCAAATTTACCTTTATTTTAATCGTAGAAACTAAAAATGTAATAATATACAGGGTGTTCCATTTAAAAAAATACAACTTTGATATTTTTTATTTATTTGGGACACTCTGTATCTTGTAAAAATATTTTTAAATTGTAGCTCTAATAGTCCTTCAACGAACTCCAAACTTACAATTTGTAAAATCTCATCGTTTAGCTACAATACTTTGTGTCGTATGTGGTGAACAACCCTGTATAAGACAACCCTCGTACTATAGGAAGAGCTACTTTTGATGATTAAATACATTTTTAATCTTCACGATTGTTGTTTTGTAAATACTCTTGAACTAAAAAGAGACGGATCTAACTCGTATCTAAAAGCGTGTTTGGAAGGGTATTATAGGTATGAAGAATTAATTGATAAAGTCAATCTGAAATATTACCATTCCTGGACTCTCTCCGCCGTAGAAGGTCGTTCCTCTGGCTAACAGCTCCTCAGTTAATTTTTGGACGGGTGGAAATATTGCTTCAAACCCTTCTTTGGGCGTTCGAAGCTCCTTAGTATAAACAATTTTGCCCATCGCACCTGTAGCAGCGCTGACGAAATTCCTTATCACTTCTTTTTCTTTGGCTTTGGCAACAGGGTCGGAAGGATATAGTGGAACCTGATTTGGATACTTTTCATCTAGGTAGTCGGATATATCTAAGCTTTCGGTGATGATTTTGTCTCCATCGAGTAAGGTTGGAACTTGGCCTGAAATATTACAAAATGTGTTAAATGATTACTATTGTGCATAACATTATTTGTGGGCTTGTACTAAATAGACTTGAGGTGGTTTGCGATTGCCCTTCTTGAGGTGACGTGACAGCTCACTGGTTGCCTATTTGGACGTTTTTTCCTTTTTTAGTAGATGTTTTTATAAATACTTACTATATATACCGGGTGCGTCTCAAAAGTTGCTCGCCCCTATAACTTATTTATTTCTTCAGATAAAAAAAACGATATTTGGTTAGTATATGACATAAATTAGAACTGATTGACGTATTTAATTGTTTTTGGTCACTTCCTGTTTCACCGGAAATGATTACAACTTTTGATTTTTAAATGACACCCTCGGTATTTTTTTACTTTATTCGATAGAAAATGACATTCTGAATAGAATGACATAAAATGCATATGTCAACTTTTGACATTCTCGCTTAATAAAAAATTGTATTTTAAAATTCAATCTAGAGTGCCATGACTATGTTAAAACACTAATTCTTAATCAAGGAGTCTTGGAAAAATAGATTTGATCGTCTAATGCTTTTAGTGTCTTCTCCTGGCCAGTTAGAAAATGATCAAATCGTATTTTTAATCATATCTCAATTTTTTCAAATGGAACGAGAGTGGCTCATTAGCATATTTGGAAAAACATTTTTTTACGAATAATTTGATACCACACACTTGGTATTTCGAGTCAAATTTTCGTTACGAAACGTAAGTTATAATTTCAAATGCACCATATGCGAAAATGTCAAAAGTTGACATATGGTATGTCATTCTATTCAGAGTGTTTTTTTTTTCGAATAAAGTAAAAAAAATGCCGAGGGTGCCATTTAAAAATCAAAAGTTAAGTTATTTCCGGTGAAACAAAAGTAAAGTAAAGATTTCAGTTAACGTCTTCTTTTTGCTGCCAGGGCTAATCTGGACGGGGCCTACTTTGTTTACGCGGAATCCAAACCGCGGTCCTCGGCCATATCATGATCAATGGCCTACCGACTTGGCAAGTGTCTAAATCGAACCGGCGTGAATGAGCAGTGTGTGTCAATAGATTTTACACTTTTGCCTTTTTTGGACAACAGCACGATACAGAGTTTCGAACCGGTCACCCGTCCATCCACTAGTATCGCCTTACGTCGCTTAACTTCGGTGTTCTAATGGGAACCGGTATTGCGACGTAGCTGGGCCGTTGCCTTATTTCCGGTGAAACAGGAATTAACCGAAAACAATTGAATACCGTCAATCAGTCCTAATTTATGTCATATACTATCATACCAAATCTCGTTTTTTTTAACTGAAAAAATAAAAAAAAGGGATGAGCCACTTTTGAGATGCATCCGGTATAGATTTGTTTTTCTTCAATAGTTTGGTTTTGAACATATACAAATTATAATAATAATAATAATAGCTCCCGTATATAGCGTTCAACGCCTTGGGAGTAGCAAGGTACAGCTTGCCATACTAGAGCCGTTCGGTATGCAAGGAAGGTAATGTGGCTAGCACTACGCTTCAACCGCCTATTATTACCTCGGAATTGTGAATCCCAAGTACTCATTTAAGGCTGAGTCGACCTAGGTACCCAAACTATTTTTATTTTAATAAAAATAGTGGGCTGATGCAATGCCGGGTGTGGAATTCGAACCCACTACCTTCAGATTGGTAGACGAGAGTCTGTACCTCTACGCCACCGGGCACTACAAATTATGTTATATGTTATTAATGAAAAACAATACCTTTTGGGTTGATTTTGAGATACCAGTCGGGTTTTCTTATAAGATTAATGTTGACTATGTCGTGCTTCAGATTTTTGGCTTTCAGAACCAACCTAACCCTTTCAGCATAGGGACAGTATTTCGTGGAATATAGCCTCAACTGTCCTTCTACTCTAGGTGGTTCAACTGAACCTGAAATAAAACATTAGCACTTAGTTGTTATATGCATATTGTAAAATATATCATTTTTTCAAGAATATCTTCAGTGAACATTTAAAATTTAAATGGGAAAACGTTTATTTATAATAGGTATACAAAATATTATCTTTTTAAAGTAAACAACGCCGTTAGAAATAAATTTTATTTTACTAAGCAAAGATTTGTTTGTAATAAAATTTCGAAATAAAATTACTATAGTCTATGAAATTCTATTCTATTGTATTTATTTCAAATTAGCATAACTTGTGATCACTTTTGATCGTGAGAATTAATTGACATGAAAGCAGCAAGACAAATAGATGAAATTCTTTTGCCACTGAAACAATTTTTAAGAAAGTATATGTTACGCATATTAGTAGTTCATGAATAAAATTGTTAACGTTATATTATTTTTCTGTTATTTTGTTATATACCTAGCTATTTTTTTATTAATCTGTGTATGCAAACTTGGAAAAAAACTACTATGAATATTTTTGATTTAAATAAAATTAAACAAAATTACCAGCTGCTAGATGTTTTTCGGACATGATTGCTTGAACTGTTTTACTTAACTAAGTTTACTTGACAATAACTGAAAATTAATAATATTATGCCTGCTTTTATATATCACCAGGTAATATTTACTTTAGGCATTATGTGGTTTGGCTTTGAATTAAATATATGTACATGTTTCAAAGGCGAGCAGATAAGAGTTTGATTTTTCTTATATCGTTCAGCACCGACCGAATATAGAATTCGGTGGTAATTTTTACATACATCGGTGGTAAGCTATACCGAATGGTTCGACGTTGGAAACAGGAAATCCCATGCAAATTTTGAACTATCCAAATATTGTCTCCCTTGTTGATTTTCCCTCCAAGTCATAAATAGTCTAACGGTCTGCATAATATGCTGAATACACATGCCAAATTTGAATACTTTTGGACATGCTGATTTTAAGTTATGTATTTAAAAAAACTGCATTTATTTTTAAATTAAAACTGAACAAGTAACAATGTAAAATCACTCAAATGCCAACATTCCTTAAGTTGTCATCCTAGCAGGGGCGGCTCGTAGCACTGGAAGATGGTGAGGCACATTAGAAGAGAATTTTTATTAGTATGTATATAGGGTGACCATTAGTACGAGGAAGTCCAATATCTTCGTAGTTGACAAATATATGAAAAAAAAGTTCTATATAAAAAAGTGCATATCCTAAAAAAATATTTTCTTTAAAATTGCAATCGCATTACCATTTTTTCTGTACAGAATTGGGTTCAGCATAAAATTCAGCATACATCACACTATTGATTTATTTGAAGCACTATATATGCGGGATTTCCATGATAATTCATATTTGAAAAATTTCATTTTTTAAAAAGTGGTAAAACCTGGAGTGAATTTAACTTATTATAGCGAGGTATGTAGGACAAAAGAAGAAATCCGAGAAAAATTTACATTATTTTATACAGGGATTTTTTTATGGCACGGCCAACATTGCAATATTATAATGCTATATCTCAATTTTTTTAAATGCAATACACACTGTATATTATTTTTAGTATTTTAGATACCTACAGACTTAAAAAGCGCACATTTTTGTATTTAAAATATTTCTAAATTTTTAGCAGTTGCCTTAAGCCTTATGTAATATAATTCGCAGTATTCTACCGTATGATCGAATAAAAACGGCGTCAGCGATGGCTATGAAATGAAGATCGCTGTCATTTTATATGTAAAATTATATGGGAAATATCATCGATCGTCATTTTCAAGCCAACTGGACGCCGTTTTTTTTTTCGATCATACGGTACCTATTACATAGGGCTATTGGAACAGTAAATTTTTATCAAAGCGACCTCAGGATATTTTGTCTTATATTTTACTCTGTATGGTAAAATTTTGTTTTTCTACCCGTCCTATAAAAATAAAACAAAATGAAATCTCTGTAACAGGTTGCTTTACTTTTTGACTATACGAGTACACAATTTATCTAGAAATGATTCGAATTCAAAAAAACTTTACCTGGGAAAGTCCTCTGATGATGCATGATCCCTCTAAATCATCATATCAATCAACAAGTCACTGCCCACTTTTTAGGTATTTACTTAATACGTTGTAATCAGTAAGACGAGTAATTAAACATGCAATTCACATTAAAAAACGTATATATTAATCAATTAGAGACAAAACAGTGCAATAACCGGCAGTTAATTCAAATTGTGATTCAAACTAATACAAATTCACAAATAATGCAATTCTGCATTTTCAGCCTGTCGCCTAAAATCTCTCGGGCTGATCGGGAACTAATCGGGAAGTGATACATATTTTTAACGAACGGCTTTTAAGGTTTAAATTTACATTTGAGGCTCGCCTCAATACGGTCTTTTTACGCGCTACTACTCCATACATTTTATCTCTCTTCAACTAAAGGTTTTGCCTATGCTTTTTCTTTTCATTCTATAGATTTAAGATTCCAGTGAACGCTGTCGCTCCTTCAATGCGATATACCACAATACGTTAGACAAGGAAAGGCGAGAGGCAAACCTCTGCACATATACTTCTTAAAGAACAAATGAGATGGATATATATATATATATATATATATATATATATATATATATATATATATATATATATATATATATATATATATATATATATCGTCGAGTTTGTCGCATATGGGAAAGGAAGCGCGTTTAAAGGAATACCATCGACGTAATTTATTGTTTTATTAATTTTTAGAATGACGGATAAAAAATACAATTATTATTGATGCAAATAGGGAAAAAAATATAAAATTGTGATTAAAGATGTATCGATTAATACGTGTAATTCTTCAAATGTATTTGTGAGGCACTGCCTCATCTGCCTCATAGGACAAGCCGCCCCTGCATCCTAGAATTTTCTTTTTAAACCCAAACCTTTAAAAAACTTAAAAAAAACTATTTACCACTTGGCTGTAAAATCAACAGGGGAACCATTATTTGGACAGTTCTAAATTTGCAAGGGATTTCCTCTTTTCAACGCCCATGCACCACCCCGTATATCTATCATTAAAATTTCTATCATTTAAAAAAGCATGTCACGTTGCTTAGAAATATTTATCTATTACATGATACATCGTATAATTTTACACACACACACACATCGATTGGCAAAGGTAATTTGACGCGGTTTTTTATATCATTTTGTATTTAGATTTTGATTGTATTGACTTTTTCAGTGTAACTTTTAGCTAGTGAACTATTTTCTGTCGTAGATACGGTCCGGTATTTCTTATGAAGAGAGATTAAATACTATAAAATAATTCCATTTTTAATTAAATTTTTATAAATTAAATAATATACAGGGTGTCCCAGAAATGAGTGCAAATATTTTAAGGGGTGGTAGATCTGGTCAAAAAAACATATTTTCTCTTTACCATTTTTAAAATAAATCGAAAATAACCGAGTTATTTCAATTTGAAAGTTTTAAAAATAAATTGGCACATTTTGAGAGCCGCCGGGGGAAATCAGCAATTTCCCGGATATCGCCTTATTCGTCGCCTGCTGTTGCCGCGACTAGAAAGTCTTAAAAACTACTTGCAAAATTCCATAACACTAAGTGGACGATCGCCAGTAGCCATTCTTCCCACATTTCCCCAATTAAATTAAAAGAAAAAAAACTTACCAAACATTAAAAAATATCCCAATAGAAGATCGATATAATTGCAAAGCTTTCTTTTTTTTCATTTTACCAGTCCTAAAACTGCCCTTAACACTACACTTAATTTCACTACAATTCTTAACAACACTAGAACTTTGATGCCACCTGAGGATCCAAACTTCCAAAATCCCTCAAATACTGAACCATACTCACAGCTCAGAGAGTTTACACTTGATAACGGTAAGCGATCCTTCTGACCGAAATGTTGGGTTAATCAAAATAAATAAAGACAATGGAAGTCCGAAATTCTTTTACTTTCAATATACTCACAAAGGTTCGAGCATTCGTGATCTATTCGAATACTCTTCGGAATAAAGCCGCTTAGCTTTCGCAGCTCCTTCACCTGCCAGGAGGAAGTATGCAAAATTCACACTTTAGGTAGAGTTTAGAAGCATATCCACCTTCTTCGGATTTGTATAGGCCATCGCGATTTACCGATAGCGATTACCGACACAAAAATATGCACTAACGCCTACTTTTTCAGCCTACTCAACTGTAAAAAGTACTTAAAACATTGCGCATTTTCCTAAAATTAGTATTAGTAATGTCCACTAATATGAAGAAATTTAGTTTTCGTATTTTTCGTAAATACGACCGTTTATACATTGCAGTCGTAATCATAAGCATAATTTAATAACCTTGAAGTTTGTAAATTTTAACTTTTTTGATTGTGATTACGACAAAAATCGGTTAGGGGCATAGACTTAAAATAAAATATAGACTACACTATTTACATCTCAACGCGGACAAACAACCTTTTTTGTACACATGTTTACTTCTGGGTACAGTCGACCGAGCCTTCCTCATCCAGCCTATGTTGTCACGTCTTTAATATTATCAATATTTTTTTTCTTGTTATACACATATATTGAGATATTAATACTACAGTTTAATAAAGTAGGTTTTAATATTCCATAGATGTGTTAAATAGTCCTTATACTACTAAATTATAAGTCGGATACTGTTTAATAAGGATAAGTTCTTTACAATATGACAACACCGATTAGAGGCGAGGGAGCCTATTCATTCATTTATTACCTTGTAGTACGTGTCGCACGTGTGCGGTAAAGCTTTGTTGCCGCTATCTCACCGGCTGTATTAACGCATTTTCTTAGCTTGTAGTCCTCAAGTGTTTATTTTATTGACTTTTTCTGTTCAAAAACTATAAAATATGGTTCGCCAGTGCCAAATTTGCAAGAAATTTGACTTAAATAATCCATTTAAGTCTTGAAACGACTTTTGACCGGTAGGCAACTCTCAATTTACCCATTGGCAGTCAGTGGCGTTGTTGTAGAAAGGCGCTTATTTAGATAATATTTTAGTAAAATGTAAAATCTGAATTTTTTCTTTTACATTACATTATTTACTTACTTACATTGTAACAAAATCATAATTATAACCCTGTTAATAATTAATAATGTTTTTATTAAAAATATATTCCGGTTTATTCTAAAATTATCTTCAGAATCTAAAATAACGTACAAGAATTTTAAAATGATATTACATTATGAAACAAAATTTTTTTAATATACCGGGTCGTCTCAAAAGTGGCTCAACCCTATAACTTTTTTATTTTTCAGATAAAAAAAACAGATTTGTATGTTAGTAGGTATATGACATAAATTAGGATTTATTGACGTATTCAATTGTTTTTTGGTCTCTTCCTGTTTCACCGAAATGATTACATCTTTTGATTTTTAAAGGCACCCTCGGTATATTGCTACTTTATTCGATAAAAAATGACACTCTGAATAGAATGACATATCATATGTCAACTTTTGGCATTGTCGCTTAAAAACATATCCTATTTTAAATTTCAATCCAGTTTTTTTCAATCCACTAAGTTTTAATCAAGGAGCCTTGGAAAAATAGTTTTGATCGTCTAATAGGTTTCGTGTCTTGTCTAGGCCGGTTAAAAGATGTACAAATCGTATTTTTAATCATACATATGTCAATTTTTTCAACTGGAACAAGGGTGACCATTAGCATATTTGGAAAAAGCATTTTTTTATGAATATATTGATACCACACACTTGGTATTTCGAGTCAAATTGTCGTTATGAACCGCGTGTTACAATTACAATTAAACCATATGCGAAAATGTCAAAAGTTGACATATGATATGTCATTCTATTCAGAGTGTCATTTTCTATCGAATAAAGTAGAAATATACCGAGGGTGCCGTTTAAAAATTAAAAGTTATAGTCATTTCCGGTGAAACAGGAAGTGACCAAAAACAATTGAATGCGTCAATCAATCCTAATTTATTTCATATACTAACATACTAAATCTTGTTTTTTTATTTGAAAATATAAAAAATTATGGGGATGAGCCACTTTTGAGACGCACCCGGTATAATAAAGACAGTACCGAGTTAAATAAATGTAGTTTTTATTTTATCCACTTCCTATCACCTTCCTTGCTTTAATGGAACAGATTTATGTTTTCTCTAATTTACATAATAAGACATCACTTAACCAGAAAAAAAAATTACAACAATCATATTTTTTTTCTCTCCTGTCGCCGATTCTATTATATCTGTGGAATAGATCCTGTTTTGATTAATATTAGGGGTTGTAAATGTTTGACTAAAATTAATAATTTATTATTAATTTCAAAAATTACGTAATTTCGATTATAAAATTTCTTCTATAACGTGTATTTTATTATTTTTATCCTTTTTGGACTCTAAGACGTTTTTCTAAACTTTTATTTAAAAACCTGTCCTAAATCTTAATAAAATATAAAAAACTTTCAATACGATATATTTTTAATTTAATTATAGCTTCATTAAAATAAAAAAATTACCCGGCTATGATACGGAGAGTTCAGGTGTACTTGAGAAACGAAAGACAGTGTTGTGTTTCTCGGCTGAGTCGTCAGGGAACGACCGTTACGACAGAGACAACCTATCTATCGCTCGTGTCGCACTCGTTATAACCTAAAACAATAACACAACAATAACAAGACAGTGTCTGACCGCATGTTCCAGCTATTTATGAATGAGATGCTCAGTCTATATTTTATTTTAAGTCTATGGTTAGGGGGCATTATTTATTTTTTTTTATTTTTATGTTTAATAATTATGATATTTTTCGTGTTTAAAAAACCTGAGTAATTAAATTTAAACAAAAATTCACTTCTAAAATGATTATGAAATAGAAAAATAAGAAAATTAGGTTACTTTATCAGCTGTATTTACATTCCAAGTTATGCGACTATGTTGTATAAACGCATATTAAAATTGTGATTGTGACTGTGCTTATGCTTAAGACAAAAATTATGATTATGATTACCACTATGTTGTAGCCCATTAAAATTATTACTGTGAATTTATAAACATTTCGAATGTGGGTATGGTAGGAAGTGGCAACTTTGCATTCTCTCCGAGATTCTCTCTATGCACGGTAAACGAATTTTCGGAGGGTGAACAGTGGCACTCAAAAGTTTTTCAAAATTTTCCGGAAAATGTCAAGAAAAACATAAAATTTTCAACATTTTTTTTTCTCAAAAAAAACTCATAGGCGTGCTTCTGGGGTTGAACTATACTACCAGTTAAAATATTTGCACTCATTTCTGGGACACCCTGTATATAAATCTGAGATTAAAAGATTTGTTTTCATGAAATATTTTTTTTTGTTTTTCTTATATATTCCTCAATTTAGTTATACATTTTAAATATTACAATGAAATATGCGATATCAGAATAAATTATTGTATCAAATCTAGTATCGAGTATACAGGGAGATTTTTTGTTGATCAAAGATACTGTTTGTCGATGAATAGTTAGACATGGGTTTTATAAACCGCAGCCCATAGTTCTTTTGTGGTTATAATTATATTGAAAAATATAAAAACAAGTTAATTTGAAGGTCCAAAATGGCGCATACAGAAGAGAGCTACGCAATAATGACAAGCAAAAAATTTATTTTCTAATGCTAAATACAAATTCTTATAATTAGATTGTACTTAACAAATAAATGATTTTGCTGCACAAATATTTATTTTTTTAACCATTACAGCGAAATTTATACCTCACACTGTTTTGATCCACTCTATATTCACAAATTATTTATCTTATATTATTCTTATTGTGTATAATAATACTGCTTTCTTATCAGTTAAATATATTTAATTTTTGTCTGATGAAAATATTTTTTCGCTTAATTTAGCTATTAAAGGTCAATGTTCTCCTTTAAAATGCATTATCAATGTGCTTGATAACAGAAACAATCATTTTTTAAGAGGGTGTGAAAATTTGGGAGGGTCACTGTCTGAAAACCTCTGCCTTGCTATTTAGTTATGAGCAATTTCAAGATCCTGACTTTCTTGGTTTTGGTCTTGCAGGGTCCAGTCTTGGATTTGCTGCAAGACTCTTGTAAGTCTTGCACTTTTTTCATAGATTTTACTTGAGGCACTTTCTACATAGGAGATCTTTAAATAAATATTGTTTTAAGTAATTTAAAGTAAATGAAACTGTAAAGAAGGTACCGTATGATAAAAAAAAACGGCGTCAGCGATGGCTATGAAATGAAGATCGCTGTCATTTTATATGTAAAATTATATGGGGGATGTCAACGATTGTCATTTCCAAACCAACTGGATGCCGTTTTTTTTTCATCATATTGTATTTACGTGACGAAAATTTTTATTTTTCCGTATACAAAAAAACGAGATTTAGTATGTTATATGACATAAATTAGGATTAATTGACGTATTCAACTGTTTTTGGTCACTTCCTGTTTCACCGGAAATAACGGAATTTTTAACTGTCACCCTGGATAGAATACGACACTCTGAACAGAATGACCAACTTTTGACATTTTCGCATATGGTTTATTTGAAACTGTAAAATGCCGTTCATTACGACAGTGTGGTGTGGTACCAAATTATTCGTAAAAAAATGCTTTTTCCAAATATGTTAATGAGCCACCGTTTGAAAAAATTGAGATATGATTAAAAATACGATTTGGGCATCTTTTAACCAACCAGGACAACAGACGAAAAACATTAAACAATCAAATATATTTTTCCAAGGCTCCTTGATTAGAAATTAGTGTTTTTAACATGGCCATATAGCACTCTAGATTGAAATTTAAAATACTGTTTTCTTTAAAGCGAAAATGTCAAAAGTTGGCATATGATATGTCATTCTACTCAGAGTGTCATTTTCTATCGAATAAGGTAGAAATATATCGAGTTAATAATAAAAGTTATAGTCATTTCCGGTGAAACAAGAAGTGACCAAAAACAGTTGAAAACGTCAATTAATCCTAATTTATGTCGTATACTAACAAACTACCAAGTCTCGTGTTTTTTGTCTGAAAAAAAATAAAAAAGTTAAAGGGGTGGGCCACTTTTTCGAGACGCACCCGGTATATTGAATAGCATTGCTTCAGGTTGCTGTTTGGTAAAGACTTAGTAATTTTTCGAAAAAGAAAACATATTTTAGCTTATATCGGCGAAAAGTTTAAAAAATTGCGCTTTATATGAAGTCATGGCCAACCATGGTTTTCATTAAAAAAAAACATGTTTGTGTCATATGTCAAAAATTATTTACTGACAGGCTTTAGAAAAAAAAACGGAAAACACAATCTCACTACGGATGTGATTATCTACAACTTTTATCTAAAAACTTTTTGTCTAAAATAGATTATAATGGAATTAGGGAGCATTTTTAAAATAGCCGAATTTTTTTTTTCGAAATATCTAGTAAGCCATAAACTTTTTCAAAAATCCGAAAGGCGCATATTATTTTTATGGCCCTACAAAACTGAAATTCTTTCTCCATTTAACCGACTCTCTATCTCCAGTAGTTTCCGAGATACCCATAGAGAACCTAGTAGAAAACTCACCCTTTATACTAAATAATGCAAAACAATATTAGAATTTTTTTTTGCAAAATATACACAGCTTTTACCGACAATCGATATTCACTTATTTACTGGCGTAGAAAAGGTAAAATATTCAACTTGCCGCTTAAATATCCTAGAGTTGTAAACAGCACATTTTTTGTGTATAAAAGTACATACTTTTTACACAACGTACTATTTTGATTGCGTGATTTATTATTTCTATTATATTCGTATTTTTTGTGTTATTTTTATACAGATCTAACCTCTGCTCTTTTTCTGTCCAATTAGAATAAACGAAGATCCCGAAGGGAAGGTCTACGTCACCGCCGAAAGCAAGTTCAACACGCTGGCCGAACTAGTCCACCATCACTCGATGCTTTCCGATGGTCTGATAACTCAATTACTCTATCCCGCGCCCAAACACAACAAGCCCACTGTCTTTCCGCTCAGTCCCGAGCCCGACGAATGGGAAATCAACAGGACGGACATCGTTATGAGGCACAAACTGGGAGGAGGACAATATGGCGATGTATACGAAGCAGTATGGATACGGTATGATAAGTTAGATAGATCATTGTACTATATTAATATAGAGTAAAATATGGCGTGCCAATATCAAAATCATCTAATTCTCGCCTAAATGGATTTTTTTAGACAGGGTTGTGTGTTCACCACATACGACATACGACACGGAGTATTGTAGCTAAATGATAGCAAATTGTAAGATTTTGGTTCGTTGAAGGACCATTGGAACTACAATTTATTTTTTTTACAAGATATTGAGTGTCTCAAATAAATAAAAAATATCAAAGTTGTGTTTTTTTAAATGGAATACCCTGTATATTATTACATTTTTAGTTTCTACTATTATAAAAACGTAATTTCGATTAAGGTTTGCCGCATTTTAATCTTACCGTTTTTGAAATATTTAGGTTTTTGTCAAAATACAGTAATAACTTTAATGCTTTGTTTCTCTAGGCGTATTTAAGTTTTTAAAACCAAATATTGTACTGAAGTATTTCTATTTACTAAATTTTGTGTTGCAATAATAAAAATTATACTACCTTATACAGTCTGAGTGTCTAAAAAATTATTTTAAATAATTACTATCTTTAAACGGCAATCTTCAGACAGTGCCATACTCTATATAGAGCGTCGGCTACCTCTCGCATGTACTTGTGATGCGTGTCATCAGTGTTTCACAAGTACACGGGACCTACAGTTCATTGCCGATTCCGAACGACACTATTTGAGAGGCTGTACAAGGCAAATAACTTGTTTAATTTAAATGGAACACCCTGTATATTTTATGAGAGTCAGATGCACAATTTTTTTGTCCAAGAAATAGTAATATACCATTTCCTACCTATCTCTTCAAGTTTTCATAGAAAATGCATTTTCTTAAAATTTAGAATTCATTTATCAATATACCCATGGAATATTGACGTTTTAGAGTATTTTTAAAGATGTAACGAATTTTCAAAGAGTACAGATACTAATATTGTCGATACAGTTCGCTTATTTCATTAAAAAAAATCAAAAAAACACTGTTTAATTATTTGTTAAGGATCAATTAATATGATTACAGTATTCAAACTATATTAATTGACTGTTTGCGTTGATTAATATTAATTGCTCCAAATACTAAAAAACTGATTGTTGTGTGTATTAGACAGCGGGGTAAAAAGTAACACCTTAAAAATTTTATTTCATTTTTTGACGAATGCTTATTATTTATAACAACAGACGTTCATTTTCATAACTTATTATTATATTGATTTCTGATTCAAATCCACATTTATTTACAATAATTTATTAACTAACACAATTAAGTAATTTTGGCGGAAATAATGGTGGTATATTTAGTTAATGGTATACTCTTTTATAAAGATTTAAATAGTTTTCTTTTTGTATACAAATGGGCTAGTAATACTATCGTTTTTAACAGCTGTACATTTCGTACATTTGTTGCTTTAAAAATAATCTAAAATGTCAAATTTCCATGGGTATAAAAATTGATAAATGAGGTCTAAATTATTAGAAAATGCATTTTATACGAAAACTTGAAAGGATAGTTAAAAAATGGTGTAATACAATTTGATAGACAATTAAATTGTGCATCTGATTCTCCTAAAATATATAGGGTGTTCCATTTAAATTAAACAAGTTATTGTCGTTTAAAGCTATAAATTATTTAAAATAAATTTTTAGACACTCTGTATGAGGTAGTATTATTTTTATTATTGCAACACAATAACTGATCAATAAATAAACTTCAGTAAGTATTTAGTAAAAGTATTTTAGTTAAGAACTTTGATATTCACAAAATTGAAAATATTTCAAAAACGGAAAAAATATTTCAAAAAATTTAAGTGTGATAAACCTTAATCAAACTTACCTTTTCTTGAATCGTAGTAATATAAAGATATACAGGGTGTTCTATTTAAAAAAAATACAACTTCATTCCGTGACTCGTCTATACTATAGAAATTTAGCTATGACTTCATATGATTTTTACGAGTATGTGTTTTATCTAGGTATAACATGACTGTTGCTGTGAAAACGCTAAAGGAAGACACGATGGCTTTAAAGGACTTTCTGGAAGAGGCCGCTATCATGAAAGAAATGAAACATCCGAATTTGGTTCAGTTGATGGGAGTGTGTACTAGAGAACCTCCATTTTATATTATAACTGAGTTTATGAGCAAAGGTAATATTGAGAGCTTTATCAAATAAAATCAATTTTAATTCTATTGCACCCCCTGTTTTTAGGTAATTTACTCGACTATCTGAGGAACGGCAACAAGGAACAGATAGACGCAGTAGTTCTAATGTACATAGCGACGCAAATAGCATCCGGAATGAGCTACCTGGAGAGCAGGAACTTTATTCATCGAGATTTGGCGGCAAGGAATTGTTTAGTCGGAGAAAATCACTTGGTAAAAGTGGCGGACTTCGGTTTGGCTAGGCTGATGCGGGACGACACTTATACTGCACATGCAGGTAACATCTTAGATCGTAGATGCTATTATAAGATTTGCAATATAACAGTGCTTCCAAAATGTCTATTAAGGTGCGTCCAGATAGGCCGCGTCGCTCCGCGCCGAGCCGCGCAAAACGTTTTGCAACGTTGCAGTTGAATTCAATGTAGACATGGAAAAGCGCACAAACACGCGCAGAGTAGATTATTTGTGCGTGTTTGTGCACGTTTTCACGTCTACATTAAATTCCTTTCACCAATTGTTAGTAGATCAAAGAAAAACTGAAGCTCGTGCGCGTTGTGAAGCAGTTCCTTCTGTGTAGACGAAAAACAACGGACGTTTCGTTTGAACTGAATTAAGGCGGAATACCGACTAGAGAACTGATGGGATGCGCCATTGCGAATCTTCAATAACTGAATGACTACATACTACATTGATGATTAAGTTATTCCTGATTAATTAATTAATGTGTTCATCATCCATTTGCCATAAAACCACTACTAGTTCAAAATATTTTAATATTTATTAATTTGGTATCACAATGAACTGCACGTAAACACGTCAATTTCAAATGTTTTTATGAAAATCCAGGAAACTTTAAACTGCATCAGGAAAATCACACAATCACACCATAAACTATTTAATTTATATTTCTCATCAAAAAACAATTTCTGTTTAGATCAAATCAAAGGTTAAACTGGTGATACGTTTGTTGCTGCAATTTCTATATTTTTTGTACAACAGTTTTAAGAAAGGTTTATTTTAGAAGCTTATATTTTTCTTCGGCCATGTATGCACTATATAGAATATAGAACCAAATAATAAAACAATTTTTTTATAACAACTTAGAAAAAGATTATCTAAAACCGCCATCCGATTTTGTTTTGTATTCACAATTTTAGCCACGCACATTGCTAAAAAAACAGGTTTCTTAAACCTAAGTCTGGTAAAAATATACTCTAATATTAACTTGACTCTATAATTTATAACAAAATAGTTATTTCTGCCACAAGAAACTGTGTATTTGAGACCCGTACGCCGACACGTGCGCCTCTAATGGTGATTTTTGAACTTCATTTACTTCATCAAATCTGGGTCCAAAATTTTTGTATGTGATTCAGCTCCTCCTTTTAGCCTCCGTAGATAAAATCCAGGCGGCTGTGACATGCCTGACGTTACTTCAACATGGCTGTCAAATTAGTGCAACTTTAACAAATAGTTATCATTTTCTATCAGTTAAAAAGAAAAAAAATCCCAGTAATTTGCCGAAAATGGAAACATCCTACAGCAGAGAAAATTGATATGGTTCTGTTAATTCCTAAAAAACTAAATCTACCGTTCTCCTTGGAGCCTCCGCGTTGTAAGAGTGGCGCCACCTTGTACAGTTGTTATATACTGATAACTTTTTTATATAGATGATTATATACCTATCTATCTATGCTAAGAAAAAATATATAGCTATTTATTTGAAACGTTATTTTATTCTTGTTTATGTTACAGGTGCAAAGTTTCCGATAAAATGGACTGCGCCCGAGGGACTAGCTTATAATAAATTCTCAACGAAATCAGACGTATGGGCCTTTGGGATACTTTTATGGGAAATTGCTACGTACGGTATGTCTCCCTATCCAGGCGTAGATCTTACAGACGTTTATCATATGTTAGAAAAAGGTTAGTATTTTTTCGAAAGAAAATGATATAAAACTATTTATATATATATGATTATTATATTATTTTTTTTTATTACAGGTTATAGGATGGAGATACCTCCAGGTTGTCCTCCAAAAATATATGAGCTAATGAGACAGTGTTGGCAGTGGCATGCAAATGATAGACCAACGTTTAAGGAAATTCATCATGCTTTGGAAAATATGTTTCAAGAATCAAGCATTACAGAAGGTAATAGACACTAAAAGAATTTCGAACTTTCATTTTAAGAACTGTGGAAATATTGGCTCCCCTATTAATTTTAGAGCTAAATCGTAAATGGTTTTTAAAGATACATTAGAAATTTGAACAAGGGGATCCAATATCTGGACAGTTCAAAATTTGCATGGGATATCCTATATTTCCAACGATGATGCACTACCCGGTATACCCTTCGCTTCTTGACTGCATACCATTATAATAATTATAATAATTGTTCAAAATGACGACCTCCATTTCCAATACATGCTCTCCTTCTTCTGAGCATGGAATTTTTAACGTTTTACAGCAATTCTTCTTTATTTTATTTAACTTATTCTAATTATTAAAAATTCCCTTTAAATATGTAGTAAGTGGGGTTAGGTGACGAAATGTCGAAAAAAGTGAAAAGAGAAAAGTTTTTTTAAAAGTAGATTTTAATTCTATAGGAAAATCAATAAGGTTTGGCGTGCATGTCGCAATGTTGTCAAGGTTTTTTTCACTTTGTCTTTTGACAAGTGTCAAATAAAATTCGTTATTTGGTCATCGATGTTTTCATTCAATTCAGATTTCATTCTTCAGATTTAAACACCATATATATAGAAATATTTTATATCTACATTATTGCAAAATGAAACGCTAATTTACCACAATATACCAAAACACTGTACTTTTAAACACTGAACGCATAATATAATGAAAAGTAATGAAATATGTGTTATTTTAATAACATTCTTTGTCACGATGACCAAAACTTACAAACCAAAATAACATCAGTACGTCTCGGACGGTAGGTAGTCTAAAAGCTATTACCTAACACCTATCATCTCTGTTCGTTGTCTCATTTCCCTATCCCTAGTTTGCGAACAATATTTTAAAAATCAATAATAATTAAAGGAAAGTGTTTATTTTTAAATAGGCTGGTTTAATAGGCCAAACCAAAATACCGTTATTTGTTTGCAAATAGATCCATGAATATAACATAACATAGATCCATGAACATAACATCCATGAATATAACATAACACATAAACCTAAAATTAAATTCTGAATAACTTTTCTAATATAAAAATTTCTAAAATAATTTCTTAAATAATATACTTTTTTAATAATAATATATTTTTTTTTAATACTTAAAATGGCATTTGTTGTGATTTTTTTCCACACCCTGAATTTAAAATGTATTTTTTAGAGGTAGAAAAACAACTACAGGGTAACGAAATTCCTGTTCCCATGGGAACACCGCATATGTCTTACAAAAAATCTCATTCCGGAAGCACAGGCAATATTCATGGATTGGTTGAATTGTCACATCAAGGTACCGAAGATATTTACTTAAAATTAATGGATTTGTCATTAATTATTATTGAATCTTTTTATAGACAATTTGAACAGTATTGCGACCAAACTAACCACTTTTACGGGAGGTAGTACAAAAAATAGCTTGGTACAGATGAGGAGAACGACAAATAAAAAAGGAAAGACTGCACCTGCGCCACCAAAAAGGACTAGGTAAGTGTCTATTTGCATGTCTGGTTATTTATTTTTGTTATGTGATTTTATATTTACTGTTTCCCAACAAAATTTGGGTATGGAAAATTCAATAAGAAATATTTAATTTTGCACATTATAATTTAGCACTTCTGAAAAAAAATAATGCACCTATGAACAAAAAATACGACGGTTAGATATATATAAAAATATTCCACTTTTATGTATATACACTTACACGTATAGAATTCTAGTCTCAATTTCTTACTATTTAATAAATGTTGCGATAACATATTTAAAAAAAATCGATTTTTAAGAATGAGTGTTTAAGGAATAAAAACACTGTTTTAAGAGAGAATGTATATAATATTATAAATTCTATACTAAGGGCTGGCAAAGGTTAGTCTTGGGTCGATATTTCCGTATGTAAGAAGAGTACAATGAGTTTATAATGTACTGAACAAAGAGAGGACAGTAAACACGTTGCCAAACGTATGAAATAAACCGAGAAACTATGCACATCGCTAAGAGACGTGGAAGGGGATATAGCAGATTTGTCGCAGTTGACCGGTCCACCCAATCAATACCTCTGTCAGTACTTAAAGTTCTAGGGAAAGGTGTACGTCATGCGTTCAGCTTCACGATTTAATTACGTCTCGTGATACTTGATTTGTTTATTTATTAACGAGTCGTTGTAATTTACCCTATAGCTTGAATTTTTTTAAGTGCAAGCTAGAAACACTTGCATTTTTGGTAAAAATAAGTGGAATTGAGTGGGTGTTCGAAAGTGGTCGCGCTATTAGAACTCTGAATTCAAAAATCGATATCTCGAAATCTATTAGAAATAATAGATTGTAGTTTTTTCAAGAACTTTGTTAATATTTCTGCTGTATTTTCTTTGTAGACAGTATGTGAAAATCTTTATAAAAAAATTACACGATTGCTGAAAATTTCTATGCTCTAAAAGTAAATGGATGGATTGTTTACAATTTTTAAATGGAAAAAACAACTTTATCGAATTTTTATTATGTAAACATATTGTAAAATATCCGATCTTGAAAATAAAAAAAAAGTTTCAATATCTAAAGTGGTTCTTGAGTTATGGCCTGTTATGTGTTAAAAAGTTGAGTTTTTAAATTATCGCGATTACTGACGTTTTCTCGTTATAAAAAAAATGACACCTTAACGATATCTTTATAATTCCATTTCAGATGCTCAGAAACATTACAAACCTAATGATTTTATCTAGTTATATCTTAAAAAAAAAGTATTTTAAAAATAAGCGGTTTACGATCGTGATTTTACTTTACTTGATGGTAAAGCGTATCGGCAACGCCGTACAAGGCGTATCGGCAACGCCGCAACAGCACACCGTCGCGCGTCGCGTGTGTCTGTCGCATTTCTCTCACTCCGACTTAATAAGATCCCTATGCGATTTACTTCCATACATGTAAATGCCGACCCAAAAGTAACAGTTGCCAGCACGGTATATGGGCAGTATTTATAAAAACTGATAAATTATCATATCAAAAAAACATCCACGCAAAATAATAAATAATAGTTACATTATGAATTATGATTTAAACTATCTGTTATCCAAAATAAAATAGTATACAGAGGAGTAAAAATCTAAGCCACAGTTTTGGGATATTGAAATTTTTAGCCTTTTAAAACACAGTTTTGGCCAAAAAACACATATTTTAATATTCTTTTTTGAGCTCCAGATAATATTAATATTTGAATCAACTCATTCAATTAAAACTTCAAATTTGAGAAAAAAATTTGAGACATAAAAATAAATTTATAAGCCTTTTAAATTAGTAATTATGTCTATTGAAATAAACAAAACAAAAAAAAGTAATATAGTAAATCAAATCAAGATTATTGGAATGCAGGGATATTTTTTTAAATATGTCAACATTTAAATTTGCATCTTGTGGGAAGTTACATTCAACGACAACTTAATTAAAATACATCTGTCAATCTTACCTGCTGGTGTTTGTTTTTCAATTCATTTTTGCTATGGTTTTGCGTAACAGCACTGATACCCATACTAATATAACATTATTTTTATACTGAGATTTCTATTGAAACTAAAAACCTGGTTATTAGGGTGGAGCGAAATGGGTTGATTTTTTTTATTTTTATATTTTTGCGATATTTAAAGGTTCACCCAGAGGCCTGAAATTAGCATATAGCTTTTTATATTATTTATCATTTATTTTAACCATAAAAGATAACCCAGAATTCAACAGGAGGAGGTCTCTGCTTTTTGGGTTCCACCACCACCTCCATCTTCTATCACCTTCTTCCACCCACTAAATAAAATATTAAGTGACTGTCAAGTGAATACCCACGTCTAGTATTAAAATACGGCATTTCTTACCTTGACTCTATTCTTGATTTGATAAATCCATCCCTGTTGTCCTCCCCACAGCCCGCCATAGAAGCTTGGGTAACAATTTTAACACATCTGTGTTCAACTGCGAGATAATGCCTTGACATAATATGTCCCATAAATATCTTTGGTCAGTACTCAGATCATCAGGAACAAGTTCTAGAAAGTTTTCACTTTGTATCCTTTGAAAGGATACAACTGGTAAATGTTCAAGGTGTTTTGAAGTTTCTTTCCTAATAATTGTACAGGGTGAGTCAACGATAGAGTAAAGTCCATTATCTCATTTGTTTCGAGGTTTACAAAAAAATGTTACATACAAAAGTTATAGGGAAGATTAAGATACACATTTTAAAATTATTATAGAGTATACAGGGTGCTTCAAAAAAGTGTGGCGGATATAACATATGTTTTTTTAAAGGCAACACCCTATTTTTTATTTTATTTTTAGATTCTGCGTAAAATTCTATAACTTTTTTATACATAACGTTATATACCTAAAATTAATAGTTTTTGTAATATTTAAATTTGTTTATACAAATGTTAAATTGCAGTGTGGCAAAAAATTGTCAGTAGTACCATTGTTTCTGAAGTTGGAATACCAAAATTTGGTATGAGAGTTCTATAGAGATTAAAAAGAAGATATATGTTAAGATATTTTAGTTAAATGCTACAGGGTGTTTAAAATATATTTATAAATTTCAACTACTTAAAATTAAAAAATCTAAAATTTTTTAAATGGTACACCCTATATATTTTGATTTTTTCTGATAGATTTTGCAAAGCTCTTCAACTTTTATTAAGTATGTCATATACCTATTTTTAATAATTTGCGATTTATTCCAATTTTTTCTATTTTTACCCATATCTTTAATACACTTACGCTATAACATCATAGTTACCATGACAAAAAAAAATAATTATTATCAAAATTTCATGTCTGTTAAGCAAGTTAAGAACAAAAAGTGAATTTTAGTTTAATTTGTATAAATGGTAGAGGTAGAGGTAATAGTTTCAGATTTTCCTAAAAATGGATTAGTCAATGTGACTGATATACACGAACAAGCCAAAATAAACATATTTTTTGGCTAAGTACTATAAGAATATAGATGTAGATTATCTAGAAAACAGTTTCATATTATATTATATTTTAATATTTTCAGTGTGTAATGGGATGGTTTTGTGGCAGTAGTAATATTGGTTTTACGAAATGAACTATAAACCAGAATTACTACGAGAAAAAAAAATTTACTGTATGTCGGAGAAAATTTCAATATCAGTAGTCGTCAATAATTAGGTAATCTAGTTAGTATTACCCTAATCTGCGGCTATTCGGCCCGACGGAAAATCCAAATGTCATTTTTCATAATATAGAAATACACTAAGAAATTCACGACTACGATTTTAGTTTATTTGAGTAAAGTTAGTTAATTTTGACTAATAATAACAATTGTAACTAATTATTAAACTACTTGTTAAAAATAAGTAATAAATATGTTTGTTTTGTCACGGCAACTATGATGTTATAGCGTAATTGTATTAAAAATTAGGGTAAAAATAGAAAAAATTGGAATAAGTCGCAAACTATTAAAAATAGGTATATGACATACTTAATAAAAGTTGAAGAGCTTTGCAAAATATATCAGAAAAAATGAAAATATATAGGGTGTACCATTTAAAAAATTTGAGATTTTTTAATTTTAAGTAGTTGAAATTCATAAATATATTTTAAACACCCTGTAGCATTTAACTAAAATATCTTAACATATATCTTCTTTTTAATCTCTATAGAACTCTCATACCAAATTTTGGTATTCCAACTTCAGAAACAATGGTACAACTGACAATTTTTTACCACACTGCAATTTAACATTTGTATAAACAAATTTAAATATTACAAAAACCATTAATTTTAGGTATATAACATTATATATAAAAAAGTTATAGAATTTTACGCAGAATTTAAAAATAAAATAAAAAATAGGGTGTTGCATTTAAAAAAACATATGTTATATCCGCCACACATTTTTGAAGGACCCTGTATACTCTATAATAATTTTAAAATGTGTATCTTAACATTCCCTATAACTTTTTTATTTAACATTTTTTTGTAAACCTCGAAACAAATGAGATAATGGACTTTACTCTATCGTTGACTCACCCTGTACTAGAATGTCCACGAGCTTCGGTTGAAGGTCCATCTCAATTTTGTGAAGTAAGTGTATTAGCGGCAATTCGTTTGCCTGAAACAGGCAGATTAGCCATTGAATGAGCGTTTGAGATATAGTTCCAAAATTCTTATGGCACCATTTTTAATACCAAGTAAAAATAATAGTATTCACAACTGTTCCGTCACAACCTACAGCAACTAAACCTGGAATATCTATTTTTTCCTCTAGAAACTTAACAATTCTTGTTTGTTTATATTGACATGCAGATCCGGACAGCGGTGTCACATGCCCTATATATTTTGAGCCTGGCTCTGACACTAACACAACGTGTTCTTCAACTACGATTTTTTTTGTGAAGTGTGTTTCTATTAATTTTTTTCGTAATTGTTTTATATTTTTCTAGATATTCTATCTGGAATTTGAGAGGTATGTAGATTCTAGATCGACGTATTTTACTTCTGTCAATTATTGATTATATATCACTTGAATTAACTATATTATGATCTTCAAAAACAGTAGAAGCTATTATATAGCTGCATCCTGTTCTGTCACACGCTTGAGCTAATTTTGGTAAGTAAATTCTCATTTGTCCAATATTTTTACTTGAACTCGAAGCCACTGATTAACATTTGACCATTCCTAACCTCTCTGAGTCATTGTCAGGGGGATCAGATTCATGCAAAGTAAAAAAAGTCTTGTGTGGCAGTTTCTGTTTGCCTTGGTTCTTTGATAATTTTATGCAGGTTTCTAGCAATATTCATAGTCGAACTATGAATGATTTTTGTTTTTTTATTTTGCAACAAGCAAAATAGCCAGACCAATTCTCCTACTCTAATTTAATTTCTTGTCACTACAGAATATTTAGCCGCAATAGTGATGGGTTGTTATTTAACTATCTGTTATTTTATAACAATTATTTATAAATAACATAACGCAACCGTTACTACTTCTAAAAAATAACAGATATAAAATAACGACACGTAGAGATCGGCCGCTCGTGAAACGAAAAACGAAGTCGGCGCTCTGCATCACCACGAAATTCTATGCTGCTCGAAGCAATTCCAAAAAACAACTAGTATGGATTGAAAACATGTTATTTCGTCAACCATCGATACAGGCGGCGAGACAACGGACAACGGAGTGGGGAAAGCGCTACGGCGAACGTAGCTGCTTCGGTCGATACCGTCAATGGTCGTATTTACAACAGCTTAAAAATAATAGGATATAAAAGAAGCAGGTTTTTTGAAACAGTTGAGGGCATAACGCCTGGCGGTGGAGATAACAGGAGTGGGAAAGGAACGCTGCTGCATCGGTCGATTGTCGATGGAGGCTCGCAACGGGTTGGAGAAGCAGTCATTTTAGATATGTTGTTTTTCAACCTGTTACAAGTATAACAGGGCGGCGGACGAGATAATAGGTGTGGGAAAGGAACGCTGCTGCATCGGTCGATTGTCGATGGAGGTTCGAAACAGGTTGGGGAATAACGCATCAGTTGTTTTAGATACATTCTGTTTCAACCTGTTACCAGCATAACGGACGGAGGTCGAGATATTATGGCGCTGTATGTTTCAGTACTTACTTACTTTTAAGTTTCAATATTTGGGTATTTATTTATCCTGAAAAATTTTCAGAATAATATTTTAAGATTTTTTAAAAATGTATACAGGGTGTTTTGAAAAATCTGGTCATTGATTAATCATGATCCTGCTTAAAGCCCTTGACATAAAAAGCTGATTTTTGGAAAACGGATTGACTTTAGTGTGTAGAGGTTCGATAAGAAGGGATTTTTCGAAACTCGAATTCTAAGGGGGTGAAACTACTCTGAAATATTAGAATATTTTTTATTTAAAAACCGGTGAGTTTTTCGGAAAAACTCTTAAAACACGTATATTTTATTATGTTGTTTTACATATTTTAAGATTTTTTAAAAATATATACAGGGTGTTTCATAAAATATGACCTTTGAGTAATCACTATTCTGCTTAAACTGCTGGTCGTTTAAAGCTGATTTTTTGCAAACGGATTGACTGTGGGGTTGAGGTTCGATAAGGAGGGGTTTCTCGAATCTCAAATTCCAACAGAGTGAAAACGCCCCTCAAATATTACAATATTTGTTATTTAAAAAACGGTTAGTCTTTCGGGAAAACGTCTGGACACGCATAATTTATTTTGTTTTTTTACATATTTTGAAATTTTTTAAAAAAGCATACAGGGTGTTCCAAAAAGTTGAGTAATTAATTAACCACGATTCTGCTTAAACTGTTCGACGTTAGAAAGCTTATTTTTGGCAAATGTGAGAAAATTTTATCCAGTTTGTATGTTAATGGAAATTCTTGTTTTGCTTTATCATCACCATTAGAAATTATTAATTCGACGCGAACGAAGTCGCGGGTACACGCTAGTTTAAGTGTAAAATTAATTCGAACTCTAGTGTGTAGTTGGTTTGCTTATGAAGAATATGCTACACATTTTCTTATATTGCTATTTTTTGACCGCAAATGGTAAAATCATAACTAAGAGCTTCTCGCCCGTCGAGTGAGGTGCACCCTGTACACTGCTACGCAATTCAGGATCTACGCGGATCGAGGGGCAGGGCGTAGGTAGATCGCAATGTGTAGGTATAGACGAGTGGCGGAATTTTGGCTTTTTTTATATCGCAATTTGTAAACAGCGCTTATTTGTAAACAACCACCGTTTTTAGAGAGGTATTTTAGATAACAATCGATATTTAGAAATGTTTTGACACCCTGGAAATACTACCACCGAGCACGTCATTGTTGCAACTTGCAAATGCGTTAATACGCCTGGCGGTGACCGTCTCATACTCTTTCAGATATTTAGCAGTAAAATAAAGAAACCTGTTATTTTTAAGCTGTTATTTTAAGCTGTTTTTTATAAATAACTATAACAGTTTCAACTGTTATCTAAAAATAACAGTTTTGCCCATCACTAAGCCGCAATTTTTTAAACTCATGAAATTAAGGGCACCTGACGCGACGCCCTATATTATAAACAATAAAAATGACCTGTAAATTATTTTGAATTCTAAATATAAAAAAAAAGTGAACTTTCGCTCCACCCTACTGTTTATATCTGTCTCGAATCACACTAACAACCACTAACTCGCACCCCTTTTGGTAACGTGGCCACGAATTATCTTTGCAGCCTGCTGTCTTCTTGCAGCTCCTTTCGGGACAGCACCTTCGACGAGCAGGGTCAGGCCGACCACGGACACGACGACGGATCAGAACTAAATGGTATACTTAAAAAACGATTCAAAGGTATTTTTTAATCGATTTTTTGTGGTTTGAGCTCGACACGTTTTTTCTCTCTTTGGTTTTCTCGCATGATTATGTCGGGATCCGGTGGGACAGGATTGTTTTTAGGTCTGTTCTAATAGAATCGAAAACCGTTTACTGTAATGTTCTAATGTTGCCAGTAATGTGTCAATTATAGCTTTCGGATAATTAGAATATAGTGAGTGTAACCTGGCATAACGGTGCACTTCGAGATAAAGGTAATGAGAAAGTTGATATATTTTTTGTTCAGCGATCGTTCAACGAAGATGAAAGAGATTGGGGACGTCATTGCGGTATTTCGTAACTTACTGCACATTGTTTCTGGCAATTGAATTGTCTTTTCATTTGAGGTTAACTATAATTTTATTGGCGGATATCGATCAATGCCATTTTTGACATTTCTTAATTTTCTGCACATACATAGTTTCTGGTAATCGTCATTTGATTTGAGGTTATAATTTTATTGACGGTTATCGATCATTGTCAAAATTATAAATTGATTGCATTGTGAAACAAATTAATTTTTGATAGCTAAAATGCGTCGCCGTTTTAGTGATATTGAAGAAGCGAAGCATTGCGAAACTTATTAAGTATTTTAATCAAGAAAGAGACGCTGGTAAAGCACTCTTACCCGTGGATGTCGTATATGAAGTAATAATATTCTTATTAGCGATGGGAACTATCGAATGAATTAGACTATCGAATGGTTAATGAATGAATGATTTCAACTATCGAATGGTTTTATTCGAATAAAATCATTCATTCATTTGTATACTAAAGCATATGTGACAACCTCGCCGTGCGACCAAATGGTTATCGTTGCGCCACGACTATCGAATGCTTTTGATAAATGAAATTTAGTATTCGTTTGATTTTTGTATGCGTCAGTGCATTATTAGTTCTTCCAAATTTTTATAACTTCGCCGTATAAATACTGTGCTATTTTTGCGTTTATTAAAATAGTTAAAATACTAAAATAGTAGTTATTTTTTAATTTTATTTATTGACGATTGTGTGCATGTGCAGGTGGTCAAAATTTTTCCGAAAATTTCCGAAAAATGTGTAAATACTAGCACCTCAATAAAAAAAATTATGTGTCCTTATCTATGTCTGACTCCGCAAAAAATTAAAGATGCCGGCTTCTTTCATAGCATTGCCACCGACTGCTGTCGGGTTTCTCGGAAAGAAACCTACGTCGCCGGGCGACAACTAAAATTCAGTTAATATTTTATTATAATCGATCCTGACGAATAAATGAATTTCATAAAGGAATGAATTTTATAAATGAATGGTTTTTGCTGCCGAATTACTAGAATACAATATTTCAAGGCAGATGACGGATCTATTCGATAATTTTTATTCGAATAGTTTTCAACGAATGTTTTCTTACTAACTATCGAATTATTCGAATGAATTGCAACTATCGAATGTTTCGATAGTATTCATTCGATAGTTCCCACTACTAATTCTTATGTAAAACCAAATTTAAGGAAAACCCTCGGGAACGCCTTAGCCCACGGCCACACAGAAAGCGTTTTTAGCGTTTTGCGTTTTTTTGCGTCTCAAGCGCTTTTTGCGATTTTACCGTTTTAAGCGCTTTTTTCGATTTGTGTCCATTAAACACACGCAAAAGACGCGGCAGGTCTGCAGTTTCTATCAAGATGTCAATTAGTAACGTCGCAAGCTCGTGGATTCCCGGCCCGTTCAACAATCAATCCTATGATAAAGAGATAGGCGAGATCGGCGCCGCTAGCGTTGAAGAGACGAAGATAAGAGATGCTGGGATTGAATTGTGGACGGACCGGGGCATATATTCGAAGACAAACACAATCTACTGCTAGTGCCAGTGGTGTGTGTAAAAATAATAATTATTATTTGCCATTTATTTTACGAATTTTAGTTTATATGTTTTTTTATGTTGTAGTGTTATGGTTAGTACTTGTTATAATTATAATATAATATAATAAATAATTATAATTATATAATAGAATAGTAAATATTTCTAGTTGCTAATGCAATTTTAGGATATAATTTATGAGACATTATGGAGTGAAACTTCTTTACGCGCGCTGGGAGTAAAAATTGAAGGCCGTGATATACGAGCTAGTGAGTCGGCCCTGACACACGAGCTCGTTGTAACGAAACGTGTTAACGGCTTCTAAATACGTAGTGACGCGACGTATATTTGTGAACAGTCCACGTGTTTATAAAAAATATTGATATTTTAATACAAATTTTGTAAAAGTGAATCAAATTATTACGTGTAAAAAAACATTTGTTACACGTAAAAAACTATTTTTATTATTTTACGCGAATAAAACTGTTACACGTAAAAACTATTTTTTACGCGTATAAAACTATTTGTTACTGGTAGAAAACTATTTTTTACGCGTGTAAAACTATTTGTTACTGGTAGAAAACTATTTTTTACGCGTATAAAACTATTTGTTACTGGTAGAAAACTATCTTTTAAGCGTATACAACTATTTGTTACTGGTAAAAAACTATTTTTTACGCGTATAAAACTATTTGTTACGTGTAAAAATATATTTGTTACACGTAAAAAAATAGTTTTTTACTAATAGTCAAAAACTTATTGTTTCTGGTAGAAAACCTTTCTTACGCAATAAAGTATATTTTTTATGTGTAAAAAACTATTTGTTACACGTAAAAAATATTTTTATACGCGTCAAAAACTTATTGTTTCTGGTAGAAAACCTTTCTTACGCAAAAACATATTTTTTACGTGTAAAAAACTATTTGTTACACGTAAAAAACTAATTTTTACGCGTCAAAAACTTATTGTTTCTAGTAAAAAACTTTTACCCAAAAAAATATTTTTTACGTGTAAAAAAAACTATTTGTTACACGTAAAAAAGTATTTTTTACGCGTCAAAAACGTTAAGAAAATCTTTTTTACGCAGAAAAAAAAACACTTTTTACGCATAAAGGCTATTTTTTACGCGTAAGAAAATATTCCTTTAATTTATTACTTTTTCAACATTTCAAACTACACTTTTTCAAACATTTCCTTCAGATTTTTGAATTTAATAAAATCTTCCTAAACAGTAGATGTTCTTTATAAAAATATTTTTTGATAATAAGGATAATAACCTAAAATGAAAAAAATGCATACTATATAATTTATTTTTATTGTATTATTAAATATAACATCCGCCTATGACGGGGTCTCATCTTAGAAAACGCTGAAGACGCTACAGAAAACAAACTGATTTGTTTTCATCTGCGTTTTTTGCGAGACACGCCGAACGCTACACGCTTTTGGTGTGACCACTCCTATATAATCCTGTTATTTTATTTTAGTCGCTAAAAACGCAAAAAACGCTTTCTGTGTGGCCGTGGGCTTAGAAGAGTCTTGGAATCGATGCCCTGTCCATTCTCCATTCGATTATCATGTCCAAGTTATTATTATCGTGTCCAATTTTTATAAAATATGTATAAAAATTGTGTTGTGTTGGACAAATTTTTGCGGATCTGTTTCATAATGTAATGTGTTATTAATATTTTTAACGTTTACAGGGTTAATCTAATTGATTTTTTTTTTAAATAAACATTTTGTATTGTGTACATTAAATCTGTAGTATTAAGGCAGAATCCGATATGTCAAATGGGAAATAATGTTGACATATCGGGTTCTGTACCACAGAAATAAAACCAGAGAAGTGACCACTCAGTAGTCACAGTCACATGCAGAAATATTCGCTTACACAAAAAAGTGCATTAAAGCAGTTTGACATTATTAAATATCTTGTAAGTACATCAAAAATTTAATTTTTTGGGCATCTTAAGGTTGATTCTCACTATACCTTCCTTTTCCATTCCATATCCGCTCCGTATTTTTTATTGTATTGACGCTATACGTAAGCTTCCGTTCCGTATAAAGCTTGATTTTCATGCATCCGTTATACGTTGATACGATGGTCCGACGGTGCTCTGATTGGTCATAGCATTTTCGCGCCACTTTTCATACGTAAATATTTTACTTCAGCCCGTCAACGGACCCGTTCATACGATAACGGACGTTTTGACACTTTTTTGACAAATTTAATCTAACCTTAATAAAAATATAAGTAAAATAGCAAAATCGTTATGGAAAGGAAAATATAAAATAACACCAAGGTATATCCGATAAACGGAGGCATGAAAATGACAGGAGGATAAAAACTGCGTTATTTTCTAACCAATCAAAGTCTTTAAATTCTACCAATAAAATTAATACCTTATCAACGTATTGTCGGACAACGGATGCATGAAAATCAAGCTTATAAGTCCCATCAAGCTTATAAGTCCCCCCCCGTACAATTTATATCATTACGAAAGTTTTATTTTAAAAATTTGTATCTTTTGAAAAAGGTAATAAATTTAATTAAGAGGTGAAAGAATAAATAAATATCAGCAAAATGTTAACAGAGCTGGTACAAATGTAGAGAGAAGAAAGAATTTGACAATACGTTTCCGATACGCTTCAGTCTATACGCCAAAAAATGTACGGAAGGAAAGGATATGGAACGGAAGGGAGACGGAACGGATAGTGCCCATTGTCTTATTCATTTACATGATATAATATTTTATGTAAACGGAAGGGAAACGAAAGGGAGCTGATATGGAAGGTATACAAGAGTATCAACAATTTAAAGAGCATATTGTACAAAATATCCCTAATTTTGTTCATAAGTTTATTTTTAAAGTATGTACGATTTAGTTGAAAAGAACTGGCACATGCCCTTAAAATTATGAATTAAAATACAATTAAAATGAATGTACCAACATACCTTCTTCCAACATACCTTCCAACATACCTTCTTGAAATTGATAAAAACGGAACTCGCTCAATTAATAATATAGGAACGTACTTAAAATTTTGTAAACAATATTAACTAATGTCATACACTCCTGAAAACGGATATTTGACATATGATATGGCGTACGTTAAACGCAAATACGTTTAAAATAAAATATACGGAGGGTACCGCTTAAATTCCTGTCCCGATATTGAAGGATGGCTTGCACCAATGCATTTCCTTCATAAGTCTATCCTTGTGTTGTAGGAGGTTTGACTAAACAAGGATGAACCTGTGTCTTGAAACCATTCGACTCGATTTTCTGTCCTCCTTCAATACTGGGACGTAAATCCTCTCATTGCTCTTATGGGGAGGCCGTCGTATATTTTATTTAAACGTATTTGGTTGAACGATTACTGAATTGTGATGAATTTTCAGATGGTCAGAACGTAACGTACGTGAAAATATAGGCCCCAGACAATAAACTATGACGTCACGGAAGCAGGCGGTTTATTGCATACGCCCACGCTTTTTAAGATTAATCTAAATTTAGTATTCAATTTAAATAGGAGATTTCTTTGTTTATTAGTATATAGATATACTCTCTACCTCTGGTCTACAAAACCTAAGGTCTACAAGGCCTTCAGGAAGGTATAAAGAAAAATATATGACTTATAGTTATTTAATAGTCATCCATTGAAGGAAGATGTACGATCTAGTGCATGCTATTAGAATGGCTGTAGTAGCAGGAATTTGGCCTTATGGCTGATTTTTTATCGCTTTCTTTAATGCTTTAATATATGGCTTAGATGATAACAGAAAACGTTGGATCCGTAAACGGTTTTCGATTCCTTGGAAAAAAAACTTATTTCGTAAAATCTCTATTTGGTGGTTTGTACAAAAAAACGGTTAGTTGGGTAAATAAGATTGAATTAATAGAAGGTTGCAAGCTGAATGTTAGGTTATGTTTAACAATTTGAACCCAATACTGAAATAGATAAGCAGTTACAAATATATTTTAATTTAAAATTATCATTTAAAATAAATATTTACTACCTTAATTAATATTTTATCTATTATAATATTATGAAGTATATGAATATTTTAAAAGCACATGATGACTGTTGGGATAAAAATCTTTGTTGTTAAAATTTTAAACAAGCTTTATAAATTAGAATTGAAAATGTGTAATTAGGTTATATTTCTTAGGGCATGTGACATTTTTCAAAATTTTGAAAATACTAGACCTATAAACATTTATTTACTTTACTAACAGATTTTGTACATATTTATGTTTGCATACTAATTAATACAATAATAATAATACATCAGTATTTTTGTTATTTGTAGATACTTATTATTGTAAAATATTCCATTAAAATTATTAATTTTATGTACTAATTTTAACTTTTAGATATGTTGTATGTACTAAAAACATCAATCATGCTTCTTATGCCGGGTCCAGACCAAGCAGACCAAACAATGACAAGACAGAAACATTCATGTTTTACGACAAAATTGCGACAAATCCAATACATTTTTACGACATTTTTGTCCCATTTTTGTTTTGTTTCAAAATTCGGATACTTTTCAATGTCCCGTCTCGAGTTGGTAAAGATCAAAGTGTCTATGTTTTGTTCGTATATTTTACGACGAGTTGTCGGCGCAGTGTGGATGGCACGTGCTGCCAAAAGTATACCAGTGAAATCACACATGGTTAATAAAACTCATTCGCAACAACTAAACTTTTGACTTTGTTGTCCTTGCGGTGTGGACAATTTCTCTCAAGTTTGTCTTGTCAGAATTCACCATTTTTTGTCGCAAGTTTGTCTTGTTTTTGTTTCAAAATTGTATTTACTTTATTTTTTTTATTGTTTGTTCTTTTTTTGTCTCAAAATCGCCATTTCACTTTTTGTCGCCTTGGTCTGGACCTTGCATTATACTTTATCAGCTTTAAACAACTAAGTTTTTAGTTATCTGGAATTACTTGATGAAACTAAATGTTATTCAAAATGGAATTTTAAAACGAAATACTCTTAGTAGTTAAATGGAGTTTTTATTAAAAGTTCTTAAAACCCACTGAAGTAAAATGGCGATTAGTTTTGGATGTCTTTAGCTTTCATTCTCAAGTTATTATTAAGAATGTTAGAAGAATGAAGTGTAAGAAAATGCTATTAAAAAACGTCATAAACAAGGTTGTCTGTAAGAAAATAGATTCTTAAAGTTTTAAAGGTATTCATTACCTTAGTACATTTTACTTCTTTTATTAACTTTATTTAATGTATGGAGTATTGTTTTTAATTTTTTTTTATTGAACAAGAACTTCTATCATGAACTCATATTAGGGTAACTTGCAACTTATTTAATGTATTATTATGAATATAATAAAAAATGTCTATACCTATGTGGCGGATTCATCTCTCTAAAAAAATCCTTTATGGGCATTTAGCCGCTGCACTGCAAGAAAATCTACAAATCTATTTTAACACAACGTCAAAGGTTTCTTGTAGACGTATCTGTTTTAAAAAAGTAAAGTGTTTTCGAATAGTTGAATTTAAATATTTTAAATAGTTTTTTTTCTTTATACTTTGTATTTTTTTGCTTCCGACGACGGAAAGAGATAAACTTTCCGAAACGTTAAGCATTTTTTTCTTTGTTAGGCAAATTTGTATAACTGTAAACATAACTTCTGACAAGCAGTTTCCGTTTAGGTTTAACGCAGAAATGTTTACAAAAAATAACTACACTTGCGTGCATAGAAATCAGCCCAAGGCAAAATTTTGCAAAATTTTGCTTTTGTCAGATTAAGAAAAAATACATGCTATTTGAAAGACAATTTCATATTCTTTGAAAAGAGTTTAGAGATATTAATTTGTATTTTGGTTTCTTTGAATTAAAATTTAATTAAATTATCGTTTTTTATTACCAAGAGGTATGTTATTATTTATTTATTTATTTATGGATAATTAACTAAACTAAATTTTCAATAATGGGTATGACCCCCTCTTGCTCTAACAACATCTCTCATACGATTTGGCATAGATTCGATCAAATTTGATATTGTTTCTTGCGGGATGTTAAGCCACTCTTCTTCTACTGCAACAATGAGCTCTGGGTTTGGGGTTCACAAAGTTGGGGTTCTTCGTCTAGTACGAATTCTTCGTTTTAGCTCATCCCATAAATGTTCTATCGGGTTTAAGTCTGGACTGCATGCTGGCCATTCCATAACCCGAAATCCGACTTCTGAAATGTAATCGTGTACGGTTCTTGATGTGTGTGTCTTCGCATTGTCATGCATAAAAGTGAATTCGTTTCCAATGTAGTCGACGTAAGGTACCACATGAACTGCTAAAATCTCCTCAATATACCTAGCACCAGTTAAACCTCCTCTCCCGTGCCGACGGTCGCCCCAACGGATGAAAACTTGGTCGGTTCGCGCAGTTATAGAAATTGCATCCCAGATCATGCACGAACCACCTCCATAAGCAATCCGCTCCTCAATGCAGCATTCTGCGAATCGCTCACCTGGCCTCCGGTACACTTTTCTTCTTTGGTCGCTACCATAGAGGCATATCCTGGTTTCATCTGAGAATAAAACAGATTCCCATTGTTCTAGTGTCCAATTCAGATGTTCCAGTGTAAAACGCAAGCGTGCTTGACGATGAGCTGGGGTAAGTTTTGGACCAATTGCGGGTGTTTTGGGGGTCATGTTACTTTCCTTCAATCTTCGTCTTACAGTCCACTGACTAATAGTCACTCCTCGTGTTTCACGGAGCTGTTGTTGCACCTGAATAGCATTAAGACGCCGATTTCTTAACATTGTTGACACAATAAAGCGGTCATCACGATCCGTTGTATATCTCTTTCTACCAGTTCCAGGTCGACTACGAAAGGATCGAGTCTGTCTCCTCATATCGTTCACACAATCTTCGAACCGCTCCGCGTGTCATATTTAGTTGCCGAGCTACAGCTCTCTGTTTAAGTCCATTTTCCATTAAAGCGATTACTTGGGCGGCTTTTTCCAGTGATGTATGCATTAAATTGAAACACGAATCAAACAATGAAACACAACTAATCAGAAAATAAAAGAACAATATGAAAATTTCGATTACAAATGTAGTAATTGCAATATTTGACAAGTTTGTTATTCTTATTGTCACCACAACACAAATACCTTTTATTTGTTTACCCGTTGGTACGCATATAAACGATAAGTACCCTGAATAAATTTATGCTCATATTAAAGCATGTTAAATTATCTTTGAAACAGCTCATATTTTTTACTTGCCATGATAAATAGATTCTAAAAGACACAGTTAAAACCAAAAGTTCACAGTGGGCCGATTTCTATGCACGCAAGTTTATTTTATTTTGTAGATTTTCTTGCAGTGCAGTGGCGAAATACCCATAAAGGATTTTTTTTTGGAGAGATGAATATAATATACTATAAAACAATAATGTAAATGTTAATATTTTATTCAGACAAGTTTCACGAGCTCACCCACACAATAATGCCAATATTTTTTCTTTACAAAAACGTTTACGTCTATAGGCCTAACACGTGAAATGCAAAACTTAACCGCTAGCACCAAAGGTGATAGCGAAAGCGATTTTCAAGATCAAACTCCCGATACCGACGATTCTGGGGCTCATTCGTATCCAGAAGTATCAGCGGCGAGTAGTTTAGGCGCTGGCGGTCTGGGATCTTTCAAAAGGGCGCCTATCATGGGCAACCGAGGACTAGAGCAGCGAGGCAAGAAGGGAAAGACGAAAGACTCACCAGCGGTAAGTTTTTTTATTCTATTATTTTTAGATGTCTTAGGTTATTAAATGTATAAAATAGTATTAAACATGTTAGGTTCAAGTGGTGTAAGAATGAGACAGTTTTCAACTTTTAGTTTTTTTCTTAGTTACAACCATTTAAATACAAAATTATTTCTTTTATAAGATGCATTTGATGATAAGGGAACTATTGCAAAAGTAAAAAAAATATACCTAAAGTACCTCTAAAAAAGTCAGTATGTAGGATAGTGTGTGTGTGTGTGTGTGTCTCATATTTAACCCAAAAGTTAAGTTAAGAAACCAAACAAGTATATAGAAAAAATATTTTAAAAAGGCTGCAAAGTTAGTCGTCCACTGCTGAACAAACCCTCCCTTAACTCTAGCCATTTTCTTCTATTTTGTGCCACTTGAATCCAGTTTTCCAGCCACCCTCTTAATGTAATCTGTCCATCGACTAGAAGGTCGTCCTCTGCTTCTATAGGCCTCGTGTCTCGGTCTCCATTCCACAAGTCTCTTTGTCCACCGTCCATCTGTCATCCTAGCCACATGTCATGCCCAATTCCATTTAAGATGTAAGACAGATATTACCGCATCTCTTACTCCTGTTCGATTTCGTATTGTATGATTGGGTATTTTATCTCTGAGTGTAACTCCCAACATGGACCTTTCCATTTTCCGTTGCATGACCTGTATTCTATGTATGTTCTTTTTTGTCAAAGTAAGCGTTTCAGCTCCATACGTGAGGACAGGCAAGACACACTGGTTAAAGATCTTTCTTCTTAAACATATGGAAATATCAGATCTCAGTATATGCCTTAGTTTGCCAAATGCCGCCCACGACAAACCTATTCTTCGTAGAATTTCGTGGGTCTGATTATCCCTTCTAATACCGATCTCATGCCCTAAGTATTTATATATATGCACTTGTTCCAAAGGTATGTTATTAATGTTTAAATTTCCACTTAGTACTAGGTTTGTCATGTATTGTGTCTTTGACAAGTTAATTTTCAAACCGACTTTTACCGAAGCATCATTCAGCATATTCTGTGCCTCCTGTATGTTGTGTATTATTAAAATAATGTCATCTGCAAAACAGAAATTATTTATCAATTTGCCATCGATGTTAATTCCTGTTGAATCCCAGTTTATCATTTTTAACATACTTTCTAGCACAGCAACGAATAGTTTAGGGGACAGTGTGTCGCCTTGTCTTACCCCTCGATCGATATTGAATTTGTCTGTGCATTGATTTGTCGATATTCTGACGTTTGCCGTGGCATTATCATATATATGTCTTATGATTGAGGACTATCGATGATCGATGCGACTCTCACTTAGTGTCTCTAGAAGCTTCCACTGGTCTACCGAATCGAAGGTCTTCTCGAAATCCACGAAGACAAGCATTAATGGTCTACTATACTCAATGCATTTCTCGATAAGGACCTTGACTGTCAGAAGATGGTCACTTGTTCCGTAACCTGATCGGAAACCTGCTTGTTCGCTCGAAAGAAAAAAGTCTATTTTATTTGTCAAACGCTTGGTGAGTATTTTAGTAAATAATTTGTATACGCGGTTAAGAAGGCTGATGGGCCTATAGTTGAAAATATATTGCGATATATATTGCATACTATTTAATTTTTTTGAGAAAATTAGCATTATTTGGATTTTTCTTTATTAGGTCCAAGTGGCTGCTTTGGAAGTACAGAACGTTAGGAAAGCCATCAGTCGATACGGTACTCTTCCTAAGGGAGCCCGGATAGGAGCGTATTTAGAATCTCTACGTCAGAGTGGAGTATCTTCGACAGATGAAAGCACCGTTCAAAATCATCAATTACCTAGTGAATCCTCTTCTATAGTTCCCAGGTAATTTGTAATACTATGCATATTTTGACGTAGTTATATTATCAGTACACTACGAGTCCTCAGACCGTACGGGCGTCGCTCTGCGTTTTTGCTCTGAACATTATCTTGAATCTTTTTTCCACCTTATCTTTCGGCAATAAATCGGTGTGTTTGGTTTTTGTGAACAAAAATAATTAGACTATAATGGCTAAAGTATTCAAATGCTGTAAAAACAAAATAAATAACAACTGGATATGTACAGTATGTAACAACATTTTCCATCCAAGCTGCTGTAAACGTACAAAAATTACGAGATAATCTCCGAAAATTTTATCTGTTGTTCATCTGACTGTCGGGAAGCTTTGAAGGGTGAAGAAAATGATGCAACTAAACACTGCAAAGTCTAGTACAGGAATTAAAAAACAGAGCTGCAAGAAAAAAACGCCTATATAAGTAGATTAAAAAGAAACTCCCAAGCTTGCCAGGAAGACTTCTCTGTCGTAGAGGATGAACTGGAAAACCGGGTAAAGAAATATGAAGACCAGATCTCCAATTTAAAGGCTAAAGTAGAAGAACTGAATCTTGAATTAAATGAAACGTGAAAGAACTGAATCTAGAATCAAAGCAGCTGTGGAGAGTTCTATTAGATTCACTCCTGATTGCTCTATTACGACAATGCAGGTACCAGTTTCACCAAAGAATCCAGTACCAATTTTACCAAAGAAAACCTGTCAGTTCCGGCGCTTGCTGGTGATGGGAAGTTATTATAGCGTGAAGAATATTCCGAAGCTTCTTAAACTTAAAAGGAACGCGGGAAGTGATATCAACTGTCAGTTCTCCGCAGAACCCCTTACCATTGGGACCATGGCCAAAATGGGTACTAATCTTAGTGAAGCTTTTGGTAGGGAGGACCATGTCATGTTGTTCGTAGACCCACGCAGTGCTAATGAAAGAACGACTCTGACCAGTTCAGCTGTAAAAGGGATGATGGACCTGTACAAACATACGAATCTAATTATTATAGGGGCATGTCAAAGTATGACATCATATAAACAAAAACAGGCTGTCTATGAGTATAACCTCCTTATTAAAAAAGAGCATACATGCTGTGGAACGTGGTGGAATTTTTTATATCGCTTGATCAGTTTACACCAGATGACATGTTTTCTTTACGGAGGCAGCAAGCAGACTACATGATTAAAAAGAATTTGGCAAATTTTATATATAAAGAATATCTAGAGCATACTGAGGAAATGCCACAGGCCAAATTATCCTTCGAAGAACGACTGAAGAAGCTTCTGGGGAGGTAAACAGGATAATTGGCGTCCTAAAATTACAACTTTCCGGAGACATTTCCGCTGCCGTCTGATGCCTTAAGGGGACCAACTCTGCCTGCAGTTCATTTAGATAGCCCACTACCAACCGACATACAACAAAATTTTCGGAAACGCTACCCCAGAATAGAACTACAAACCAATTAAGTAACCTGAACCTACACATTTACTACCAAAATGTACGTGGCTTACGAACTAAAACCGATGTACTCTACACTAGTATAATCGCCGATGATTATGATGTTGTCCTGTTAACTGAAACGTGGTTGACTGATGATTTTCGTGACTCAGAACTCTTTGATGACCGGTATATAGTAATGCGCAGAGATCGAGAGAACGGCAATTCTGATAGAAGAGGCGGAGGGGTTTTAATTGCTACCAATAAAAATATCCGCACTCAACTGATTAATTCACAAGTTTTGGTGCCAGTGATTTTCTTTTAATACTATGTAAGTTCAATAACTATGTATTTTACGTGTGCTGTCTATATGCCCCGCCAAATTCCGATATCGCAACTTACACTTCTATTTTTGATTATCTGGATTCCATATTGAAAGATGGTGATCCTATATTATTAGCGGGCGATTTCAATCTTCCCTTTTTTCCTGCTGTTATGTGTGACATAAGTTCGTCCCTGATGCATTTCTTATGTTTTAATAATTTAGTTCAAGTGAATAGTGTTTATAACTTTCTCGGTCGTAGGTTAGATCTAGTGATAAGTAATATAAATAATTTAGCCGTACAAAAATGTGTATCTTCATTGATTGTGGAGGACAATTATCATCCATCATTACGCATTGATTTTAGTGTCAAAACAACTGATGTTAAAAAGATAAATTCTGTCTATACATATGACTATAGTAAAGGCAACTACTTGCTATTGCATAGTATGATGAGGGATGTTAATTGGGACTCCCTCTTAAACATATCTAATCCTAATGATTGTATGTCTGAATTATATTGTAAACTTTATAATGTTCTCGATAAAACAATTCCAAAGAAAATATCCTCTAAAAGCTTCCACAAACGAAAATTTCCGCATTGGTTTTCTAAAGATCTTATAAAAAAGATAAATATTAAAAACAAAATGCACAGAAGAAATAAATTTTCTATTGAATTCCGAGATCTCAGGACCAGTATTAAAGCTCAAACAAAGGTTGAATTTCGGGAATATCATAAAAACATTGAACACAATGCGTCACTCGATCCGAGTGGGTTTTGGAAGTTTATAAAGTCTAAATCGCAGGGCAACGGGGTACCTGAACATATTATTCACAACGATACATCCTACGAGGGAAGTCTGGATATTGCTAACGCTTTTGCAAACTACTTTAAAGGAGTTTATGAACCGTCTGAAATCGATGTCTATTCGGATTTCGGTGATTTCTGGGGCAATTTTGACTTCGTTGAAATAACAAATGACATGACTCTAGCAGCTATAAAGAAATTAAAATCGAAAAAGTCCGTTAGCACTGACAATATCCCTTCTTATATTTTTAAAGGATGTGCCGAAATACTAGCAAAGCCTTTGACTCATTTATTCAATTGCGCTCTTAATACGGGAGTATTTCCCGATACATTAAAAAAATCAATAGTGGTTCCAATTTACAAAAAAGGCGGAATTGATAAAATTCAAAATTACAGACCTATTAATCTACTTAGTCCACTTGCTAAAGTTTTTGAAATCATACTGCATGAGAATTTGCAACTTTTAATCAATGAACACATTGTGAAAGAACAGCATGGATTCCTTAAAGATAGATCAACTATTTCTAATTTAAGCGTTTTCACAAATTCAGCATCCCTTGCGATTGATAATAAGCAGCAATTAGATGTCATCTATACCGATGCTGAAAAAGCATTCGACAAAGTAAGCCACAAACTACTACTTAACAAACTTATACATTTTGGTCTTTCCAAAAAAGCTTTCGAGCTGCTCAAAAGCTATCTGACAGATCGGACCTGTACTGTTAGAATAGGCAACGAAACATCTGACGCATTTACTGTCACTTCAGGAGTTCCACAAGGGAGCAACATTTCGCCATTGCTGTTTATTCTTTTTGTGGATGATCTTCCGGAATGCATAATGCACTCCGAGTGTCTTTTGTTTGCGGACGATTTCAAGATTTACAAAAATGTTGCCTCCGAGAGTGACTGTATTGATCTTCAGAGTGATTTGACAAATGTTATGACTTGGTTTACAAACAATAAAATGTTTCTTAACATCGAAAAATGTTCATTTGTGAGCTTTACACGTAAGTCAACGAGGATAAATTTTGAATATCGTATACATAGTGATACTCTGACTGAAAGTAGGGCTATCAAAGATCTGGGTATAACGTTTGAATCTAACTTAAGGTTTAATCTACACTATCGAAACATGGTTAATAAAGCATATCAAATGCTGGGTTTTCTTATTAGAAACTCTAAGCATTTCAAACAAATTAGTACGTTGTCCAAACTGTACAATTGCTTAGTCAGGCCTCACTTAGAATATGCATCAATTATATGGACTCCTACAGCGGAATGCAATCGGGATCTGATTGAGAAAATCCAAAAAAAATTTCTAAGATATCTATATTTTAAACAAAATGGTGTTTATCCAGTTTTCCCTCTGCTGGTATCATATAAAAACATGTTAAGCTCATTCAACTTCCAGGATCTACACGCCCGAAGAATCGTACAATGTTTAATAATATTATATAACATAATAAATAATTATAAACTCAATAATTCAGATCTAATAAATAATATCAAATTTCATGTCCCAAAAATCAGCCTACGTCGCACAACAAATTCAAATAAAACATTTAATATACAGGGTGTCCCAGAAATGAGTGCAGATATTTTAACTGGTAGTATAGTTCAACCCCAGAAACACGCCTATGAGGTTTTTTTTGCGAAAAAAAAATGTTGAAAATTTTATATTTTTCTTGACATTTTCCGGAAAATGTTGAAAAACTTTTGAGTGCCACTGTTCACTCCCCGGGAAATTCGTTTACCGGGCATAGAGAGTGTCGGAGAGAATGCAACGTTGCCACCTCCTACCATACCCACATTCTGCATGTTTATCTATAAATTCAATTATTTTAAGTTGCTACAGAAAAAAAAATACGAAAATTAATTTTATTCATATTAGTGTAGATTGCTCTACTAATTGTAGAGAAACGCGCAATATTTTAAATACTTTTTACAGTGGAGTAAACTGAAAAATAAATCTTAACAATTATCTTCTTTTTTCGCCATATTAGGAAATATTTTCAATCGTTTCAATAAACAATTATAACCTTTAATGTTTAGTTAGAGCTTACCCTTTTAATGAAAGTGTTTTTATCCAGCACATACAGGGTGTCCCAGAAATAAGTGCAAATATTTTAACTGGTAGTATAGTTCAACCCCAGAAACACGCCTATAAGGTTTTTTTTGAAAAAAAAATGTTGAAAATTTAAAATTTTTCTTGACATTTTCCGGGAAATTTGAAAACCTTTTTAGTGCCTTGCAGTGTTGTAACCTCCTATGTTATCCACATTCTACATAGTTCTACATTTATAAATTCATAGAAAAATTTCTACTCAAAAATTAAGAATGTTAAATTTTTATCAGTGCTCATTATTAATAATTATTATAGAAAAAAAACACATTAATTATTTTTAGTACTTACCCTTTCAATGAAAACTTAACAAAAACCACGGAAAATTAACTAAAACATTACGTTTATGACGTTTACGAAAATGATTCATCATTCTATTCACAACCAGGTCACAAAAAAGAAATTCCTAAAATGTTTATCGTAATTTAGAATTCAATATTTGTTTTCTTTCATGTTTCTCTGTTTTATTTGAACCACTGATTTACAAAACACCTTGAAAAGCGCACATTACTTTGAATGCCGTCTCTTATCGCCACTTTACGAACTACTTTCAATTTAAGACATGTTTCACTCAACAATTTTAAATACGTATTTTGTTTTTTCGCTATTTTTTCGATGTATTTTGACAGCCCGACCGTCGCATGTCGGCCAAGAGTGCCACGTGTGAACTGGTCCTTTGAGCCGCGCCGTCGTGGCAGGCTTGCGTCAGACGACGATGTTAAGCAACGTTGCCGTAGTTACAACAATTTCAAATTCAAGAGATTCGAAGCAATCAAATTTGTATTAAATTTTAAAAATAAAACAGAGAAACATGAAAGGAAACAAACAAAACGAAAATGAATTGATTATTCGTCGGGCTGTTTTCGATATATTGAATTCTGAATTACGATAAACAATTTAGAAATTTCTTTTTTGTGACCTTATCAATAATCAATTCATTTGTGTTTTGTTTGTTTCCTTTCATGTTTTTCTGTTTTATTTTTAAAATTTAATAAGAATTTGATTGCTTGGAGTGTCTTGAATTTGAAATTGTTGAAACTACGGCAACCTCGCATGACGCAAGCTCGACACGCCGGCGCGACAAAGAAGCACTGGGCAGTTACCAACCAGTGATGCGTGGCTGTCTTGGCCGACGAATGGTTGGGTTGTTGACGGAATTGTCGAAATACATCGAAAAAATAGCGAAAAAGCAAAATACGTATTTAAAATTGTTGAGTGAAACATGTATTTTCTTAGATTGAAAGTAGTTCGTAAAGTGGCGGTAAGAGACAATAATTCTCAACATTTATTCATTCAGAAAGATATTCAAAGTAATGTGTAATGTGTGCTTTTCAAGGTGTTTTGTAAATCAGTGGTTCAAATTGTGATGAAGCCTATACGAAAATAATGTGTTAAGTTAAAATGGGGACTGTTATTTTAGCAGTTTTTATAATAGCACGTACAAGTAAAAAGCAGCACAATGAAGTGTATTTTAGTTAAGTGTGTATCGAAAAAGAGAACTGTCGCAGTTACATCGATCTGTCATATAAGTATCTTTTTAATGTTGGGTAAGTTTTTTAATTTAACTTTTAAACATTTAACTTTTAATTTATTTTATGTAATAATATCACAATCTTAAAAATGTAATGCATCTCTGCAAACTCCTCAGGTGTTGTGATTTTATGACTTACTTGTAAACATATACTTTCTTGTCCATATGGCAACACAGTGCGTCGAATTAACTGAAATCCGGCTTGATCCGGGTAATTGGATGTAGTTGGCAATACCTGCCGGCGGTTCTCAAAATGTTGCGATTATTTTTTTAAATTTTCAAAGTTAAATAACTCAGTTATTTTCAATTTATTTTAAAAATGGTAAAGAGAAAATATGTTTATTTTGACCAGATCTACCACCTCTTAAAATATCTGCACTCATTTCTGGGACACCCTGTATATACGGTCAGTTCTTATATGTGCCACATCCTGGACGAATGTAATGCAGTGTTAAGTCAGTTTAATATAGATATTTTCCATACAAATGTAAAAGAAATAAATAAGATCCTAAATCACACCTCCTTCACCACAGTGAAATGATATTATACCTGCACATTTTTGTTTTTTTTTACTTTGTATATTTTAGTTTCAATTCAACTATTTTTTTTTATATTTATTGCATTCATTGTATGTACAGTAGTTTTAGTTTTGTTAAGTTAATTTATTTAGATTTAAGTCCCTTATCTGTAACAACTATTCTTTTGGTGTTTGTAAGGAGTAGTTTAAAAATAAAATAAAATAAAAATAAAATATAAAGAAATTATTTCAGGTCGTTGTCTCCTAGAACCAATATCAGGACTCAGCCTCAAATGATTAGGAGTAATTCCTCCAGTGGAGTAACTACCTTTCATGCGCCCCATCCCCCTAGTTCTCCAACGTCTTCGAAACTTTCGAGAAACAGAAATTTAACTAGGTAACTAATTTTTATAATATTTTTTATATGTGATTATATCGATTATATCTAAAATTTTAGTGACAAGTGGTTACTTCAAAATATTATGAAAAAAATGTATAATACTGAAAAAATCTAATGAAGTTATTTTATTTAAAAAATATTAGGGTCTCTGCTGGGTGTATGTTAAACAAAATACTATAGTAAACATAATTTTTTTTTTTTTTTTTTTTTTTCTTTTTTTTCGATCCTAATCCAATTTATAAAAAAAGAACACACTATAGTAAACGCCACGAATGTTTGGGAGTGATTCATCGCTTGATGAAGTTTGAATAGACACGCGCGCTATCATTTTTACATTAAAAACGTAAATTTTTACCGTAGGTTTTTAAAGGCCCGGTCTAATCATCTGCCTGCGCTCCTCCTTCTTCTTCTAAAATTTTAGCGTGATTGACAAAGACCATACTATATCGCGTTTCTTTGATTGATTCGTTTTTGTGCGTCAGTCCATTGGTGCGCTTGCAGTGCGACCAATGGGGCATTCCATTTTATATTTATAACCAAATATATGTTTTGACAAGACTTTGACAGTTAAAACAACAAATTACAACAGATTATATATTGATTATTATATGACTTGAAACACCACGGCACTGGAATTAAGTTTTATGTGACCTTGAACAGATTAGTTCACATGGTAGCGACCAACGAATCACTCCCAAACATTCGTGGCGTTTACTTTACATACAAAAAATCTATAAAAATGAACTATTTCTTACTTTCAAACTTTAAGAAACTTCCTGCATTTCTTATTATATTTATCAATGTAACTTATGTACAAATATTTCTTTTTAATATTGCACAGGAATAAATAAAACACAACATAAATAAAACAAAATACTTTATTAATAATAACACTTACTGAATTTTATACCTTAAAAGTTAGTTAATTAACTACTTTAATCTTAATTTTTTAAACCAGCAGATTTCGACATTATGTCTCTGCAGTACTACAATCTATTATTTAGCTATCGTGTAATGTTATTTTACAGCTACTCTAGTTTTTGGTACCATATACGAGTGCGGGATGGTATACAAATTTTATTTATGGCTAATACAACTCTCTGGCAAAAGGCGTCTCTGAGCACCGAATATTAACTATTAACTATGGTCTGGGTAAACACTTAATTTTCTTTCCATTTTTCCTTCACTTAACTTTAAAAAAACACAACACACGTAATAACACAGCCCATTTATTATTTCTATATGATTTCTATTTGACATAATTTGACACAAATTATAACCTATCATTGGGAAAGAGTTTGATAACTCAAAAATCTTAAGTCGAGTTCATACGCATCGGCCTCCGTGTGTCGTTTATCGTTCCGTCACTCCAATAATATTGAAATATGATCTGTCATTTAATAAACCAATAAAACTGGTTAAAAACAACAAAAAACGACGCATGACGGATAATTTTTTTTATTAAACTTAATGTTTTTTTTATTATTAGGAATAACACCGATGGAGTTAGATCAAGCTTGCGTACCTTTAAAACAACCCAAAGCACATTTAGAGGAGGCAGTCCCTCCCGATCGGTACCACCTCCCACTTTGGCCGATCTTGAGTTTCCACCTCCTCCGACTGACTTACCGCCTCCTCCCGAAGAGTTCGACGGCGTAGGCACTATCGATACCGTAGATTGCAGTACTTCTCTCATGACCTCGTCTACGGAACATAAGAAAAAGATCGTACCTATGTCGCCGATGTTACCAAGCAAAAAGATCAACAGGGAAGCTCTGGAGAGTTTAGATGGTGGAGGGGACGTGTGTACATTACAGCCGTCGGTAGAGGAAGCTAGTTCAAGGTTAGTAGTGTTTATATAATATTGTTACGAATTCCGTGGGTCTACTAATTTAAACTCACGATATAATCCTTGACGAATTTATTTTTCTCACTATATACACAATTTGTACTGATTACAACACACTATGCAACTAACAATACAGCTACGATTTTCTAGTCACCATCTAACTGCCTAGCGCGGGTGCGCTTTATGTATCTTAGCGGCTGCTTCTAGAACGTTCGGAAATTATCTGTAGTATTTTCTTTTTACTAGTAGGTAAATTCTTTTTAGAAGATCGAGATTTTCCACGTAAGCCTCAGAGATGGCGCGCTACTCAATTCCCCAGATTTCTCTGCCAATAGATGTCGCAACACACCTTGACAATATGTTTATACTAATATAAACATATAAATATAAATAAATATATAGCAATGTTATCATAATATGAGCAGCTTTCTTTACTTTCAGTATACAGTATGTCCCCGGATTATCTTTACAAGAGGAAAGTCTTATTTAATATTGACATTTTGAGAAAAATGCATTCTTCATAAAAATTTTGCTTGTTCTAAAATGGTTAATGCCGTTTATATATATACTTTTCCAAATTTCGATACCGTATCAGAGAAAATTATAGAAAACATGAATATATGGTTGAATTTTTTCCAAGTCCTATTGCATATAATATATAATATATATAATAAATTATTATTAATTAATTAAATATAATATTGCATATCCAATATAATTTCGATTTTATTCTTTGATAGATGGTTATTAATTTTGATTAACGTCATATTTTTTGCTGTTGTTCAAGTATTATGTTTTCGGATAACTATTATCACCCTTTCCATAGGACTGAACTAAATAAATTTTGTGCTTCTTTAACATCTTAAAACAGCAAAAAATATGACGTTAATTAAAATTTAATCAATAACAATCTATCAAAGGTTGAAAACAAAACTATGTTACCATGGAAAAGTGTTTCAATTTTTAGGACTTCTAAACTACATTTTCATGTTTCTTTTAATTTTCTCTAAAACGGTATGGAAATTTGCAAACGTTTAAACGGGATTAACCATTTTAGAACAAGCAAACATTTTTATGAAGAATGCGTTTTTCTCAAATTGTCAATAATAAAAAAGTTTTTCCTCTTATAAAGACCATCTGGGGCCATACTGTATATATAATTTAATTTGAAATGCGATTTTATAATCAATTTAATTCACATGCTTGTTTTTTCCTGATTATTTTTTTTTAATTCAGGTTCGGCGTAAGTTTAAAGAAACGTGAGCTTTCGTCGGACAGTTGTAGTAGCGTAAAGGACAATCTCAACAAGGAGGAGAACAAATTCAGGGAGGAGAAAAGTCCACAACGAACCAGTTTAAGTCTCACGAGTCCTAGTCACGACGGTAAAAGTCCCATGAGCGTTGATTCCGATGTTCCTGCGGTCGGTTCTCCTCTGGAACCACTGCCGCCTCCGCCTCATTTTCCAGACACGGGAGGTAAGCTTACTATACACGTTTAAAAAATACTTTTTGCTAAAATTTTGAGAACCACTGGCAGTGGTTTCTTTTCTGGATTTTCTATCTTGTAAATTTAATCTAATACCCATGTTGCCATATTATCAAGAAATTATGTTTTTTAACTAAAAACTAAAAAAAAATTAGAGAAAAATGTTCAAAAATTCATTTCGAATCTTCAATTTTTTTTTCGCGAAAAAAACCTCATAGGCGTATTTCTGGGGTTGAACTATAGTTAAAATACTTGCACTTATGTCTGGAACACCCTGTATAAGAAGCCGTGATTTTGTAGGCATTCCTTTTCTATGTTGAATAAAATATTTGTATCGTGAAATAGTAAATATCGTCCCATTGCTGCCAAAAGTCACTAACTTACTTTTTATTACTTCCGAGAAAAATGCGTCTAAAGATGAATTGCATTGCATAAAGATGTTATAGTTAGTAACTATTCGGTATTAAAATAAAACATAAATAGCCAGAAATCGTAGTTAATGACTTTTGCAATCGTTTCTCCGCTTCAAAACATAGTTAGTGATTGAATTTGGTTGTTCGGAAAAATGTTATTTAGTGACTTTTGGCAGCAATAGGACGATATCTTGAACATTAAAAAATACTTCTCTAACTCCCAGTGGATGACATACCAAGAATTTACAACTTTGAGAAACATCTCACTGTAGTATTGAGTAATAAAAAGGATTGGAAGAAAGAAACGCTTACTCAGCATATAAAAGACTATACCATCACGTGGTATACTGATGCTTCCAAAACCAAAGCAGGGACAGGGATAGGAGTATTTGGGCCGAAAACTAAATACTCCGAACCAATGGGCATCTACCCCAGTATCCTTCAGGCAGAAATTTGCGCTATCGAAAGATGCGTACAATTTATCTTAGATAGGAACTATCGAAAACAGGAAATTGCCATCCTATCCGATAGTCAAGCAGCACTTAACGCGATCAACTCATTAACCATCAATTCGAATTGCTCAAAGAATGCCTAGAGAAGCTCAACAAATTAGGCAAAGAAAATAAAGTCCTCCTACTCTGGGTGCCTGCTCACCAAGGGATAGAAGGCAATGAAAAAGCAAATGATCTAGCTAGAAAAGGAGCGAACACTCCACTAACTGGACTAGAACCGTTCTGTTTTCTAAACGGGAACCAACTGAAAGCGGAACTGAAGAATCTGGAAGACTCTATCCGTAACTTGGAATGGGTGTCCTCCAACGGTCTAAGACACTCGAAAAAGTTCCCCAGAACTTATGACCGAGAAAAATCAAAGGTTTTCCTTGATTTAAGGTTTTCCTTGATTTCCTTGAATCAAAGGTTTTCCTTGATTTAAGTAAAAACAATCTTCGGATTGTCACGGGGTTTCTAACAGGACACTGTCTCCTCAACGATCACCTCAGTAGGCTGAAGGTGAGAAACAACGGCGAATGCAGATTTTGTGTGGAAAATGGGGAAACACCAGAACACCTTATCACTGAGTGCACCGAGACGACGACCATTCGTGCCATGAACCTTGGTACGTCTGATATCGAGGATGGAGAGCTGGCCTCTGTGGAGCCGTCTCAGATACTGGCTTTTGTTAAAGCCCTGAGACTCTAGTGATGAGATACACAATAGATCTATAAGGTCGCGGTGATTAACTCCCCTCCTAAACATTCTACATTCTACAACATTGAAAAATATGTCGATTTCAGAAAAAACAAAGTCAGAACTTGTAAATTTTCAAAAGATATAATAGGCCCAAAAATTGACGTAACCGAATTGACATAATCTGCTAAATTTCTTTGATCGATAATTTGTTTTAGCATCAGTCCCATTCATTAACCCTAGAATTCTCTAACACAGTATTTCCAACTATTTTAATCCTTGTTAATATAATTATTTATTATTTTTAATGTCATTCACCTAGCAATGTAATAATAATATTAAAATGGTTTGTTTCCAGTAGATGAGGTAGACTCGTCAGAAAATTGCAATCAGGAGGATTTGACGTCAACAGAAGACAATAAAAATTCTTCGAAAGTGTTCAAAAATAAGTTAGTGAAAAAGGAGATGGAACTCAAGTTAGTAGCCGAGATTAAAGAGCGAGCGGATCAGAAACAAGGGAGAAATCTTAAAGACTCATCATTTGAATCTATTTTGGCTGTGAGTGGTATTGGCCACGATCCTGTATCTCAATTAGGTAAATATTTTACTTATTCATTATTATACAGTAGCCTACAAAAATATTGAAACCAATACGATTTATTTTTTATTGAGTTAACTATTAAAAGTTTAAACTTAATCAATTTAACATGCTCAATATAGTGGAGTGCTTTAAGCCCTTATGGGATACAAACCTCGGAATTTATTTACTGTGAACGAATTTTTATAAAACTTTTTGCATTGTATTGTTAATAAGATATATTACAAAGTTTACCCATTTAAATTCGTTGCTTTCTCTTTAGCATTTAAATAAACACACATATACAAATGCATACATAGAAGATGGCTCCGTGTTCCGAAAAATCTCTGTATCAGGCTTCCTATTTGATATTTTCACTTTAAACCTTTTGCAACATATGTGTTTAATGGTAGCTCACATTTCAAAAATCTTTTTATATATATACAGGGTGAGTCAAATATATTTGTTTTAGGTTTTCAATGAAATGCTTTATATTTGTTTAGTTCAGTGAATTTGCTATACAATTCCGGTTTCAAAAATACCTTAATAATATAGAGTTACTGAGTGGTTTTTGAACTATGACCGCGTCCAAGAGTTTTTTTCATCGCATTTTGCTAAATAACTTGAAATCAGTTACATTTAGCTAAAAACGTGTCATATGCTTTTTTGTTCGTCAGAGAATTACCTTTCCAGCGGTATATATGATTTCTATTTTGTCACAAACGGTTTTTGACAATTTGCCAAAATATTGTAGCGTTACATATCTAGTCGTTATGGTAAAAACACAATTTATATAGATCCTGAAAAGTAATACAACGACCTAATGACTATTTAACTATCAAATGTAATTGCTGGAATTTTTAATGTATTTGTAAAAATATACGGAAGATGGTGTTTACCCTCCTAAGTCGTATCTCACTGTGTTTGTAACATCAGCAATAGATAACATTGATCACAACCAGTCTTCTACTGCCGTTACTTCTTTCCATGGTTCAAGTGTTACTATTATTCAGCATCCTCACAATGAATCAACTATAGAGATTGACAATGACATCATTCGTATCCAGCAGTGGAACAAACAAATTCTCAATGTTCTACCTGAATATTACATTACTCTTCCTGCAACTGGTAAACTAACAAGTGACCCACTTTTGCCAACTGTCAATCCACAGTACACCGACCACGATCCTGCATTCACCCCTAGGAAAGTTTTAAGTCATTGGCTTAACTCTGTCCTGCAGAGAGTGTATATTGAAGACATACAAGTATGTGCCTACGAGCATACATACAAGTATGTACATACGAGCACGTGCCTACAATATCGTTTGCTACTTTTCATGCACACAATGAACTTGGTATTAAAAAAATAGGTGTAATGCGTCGTTGCTTCCACTTCTTAATGACGAAATTGCAATGCCATCAGTGGTACGTCATATGATGGATATCATAGTAATAGCTACTGCAGAATTACATGCAAATTCATATCCAGATGTACATGCTCAATTTCTTCGTGGTAACTTTACAAGCAGCAAAACGGCTACAACTTTTTCTGCAATATCTGACGATCAGCTTCAGGAACAAAGGTGAAGGTGGATCATATCAAACGAGCCAGAAAAAAATAAATATTAAAAAAATACATTCCAAGCCAGAATTTGGAGCAACAGTCTCGTTGCACAATACACGATACCTTCACCAACCGAGTGGGGATGGATACTAACTTCGGAAGGGTCATACCGACCTGTGTGGATAACAATTCCAGAAGTTTCAAAACACTGTGTAGAACTTACCTCCTGTACTTGCCGCAAGCGATGTACATCTTGTAAATGTGTTAAAATGGGAATACGCTGTACAAAACTTTGTGTATGTGAAGTACAGTGCTCGGATAGTGATCGGTAATCATAAGTGAACGGGTAATGCAAATCCTCTACTCTGGATATGACTTCTGTACCTATATATAACTGTATGTTTGAAAGCTACTTTACAGTTATACCTTGAGTGTGCTTCATGTGTTCGATTTTAAAACGGAAATCAAAGTTTCGTCTTCCGAAAAAAGCTATACTTTATTTACTTATTCATCTAAAATTAGTTATTAAATTTTTTGCTTTTTAGCAGGTACAAAACCGCTGTATTACTTTACGAAATCTAAAATTTACATTGCTGCCCTAACGACTAGTTGTGCAACGCTACATTGTTTTGGCAGATTTTTAGCAACTGTTTATGATAAAATAGAAGAAATATATACCGTTGTAAAGGTAATTTTTTTGCGAAGAAAAAAGTATAGAACACATTTTTAGCTACATATAGCGAATTTCAAGTTATTTAGAAAAATCTGACGAAAAAATTAAATTAAAAAACATTTTTTTTAAGTAACAAATATTTTTGTTATTATAAACGTAAATAATTTTGTGAAATATACCATTAAAAAGCGCGTTTCCTCGTCTTTTATGATCACTAACAATATTTGTTAATATCGAAAAGTAAAACTGACTTACAGCGGGAAATATAGAAGCGTGTCTAAAAATTTTGGCGGCCATTTTGATTACGTCATCAAGACCGCTAGAGGGCCAGATTTGTGTCCCGGGCTTTTTATACTTCTCTATACATGTACTATCTAAATCCAAAAGGGTGCATTGGTTGCCAGATGTGAAATATTTTGGCATAATTTTAAGCTAACATACCCCACTAATTCCACATATTTGTTGAAGTCCAAAATAAGAAGTATTTTTATTTGTTTTGACTTTTTTAGTGTTGAACAATATGATTAATGGTTTTTATTTTTTTTTCTTTAGTTACTGAATTGTCGCAGTCGCTAAACTTAGAAAAAGAAATGGCTAGAAAGAACTCGTTGGGTAGCAGTACATTAAAGAGGCAACAGGAAGTTCAGGATCGATCTGAGAAGGAAACTAATGGAGTTAACTTTGTCTCTCAATTAAAGAAAACCGATATCAAGAAGCCGTTGACCAAAGAGAAAAGTGACGTTAGCGACTCGTCGATGATCATAGGTATTAAGTCTAAACTTAGGAAAGTGGAGAGTGACAAGAAAGCTGATAAAAAAGAAGGTTAGCAGAAATATATTTTTAAGTATTTTCTTAAAACATACATTTCTTAAATCGTACAAAGAGCTACGGTAATCGCAAAACAGATATTTTATTTAGATTAAAGCTGCAAAAATTAGTTTAAACCGAATTTTATTATCGCTATGTTGGTCACATTGCGCCGTTTTCAGTAAGGTTGTCGTTTATTATTTGACAATTATAATGTCAGTCATTTTGTATAATATAGTGTTTTATAATATCGATTTTTGCCTATTTTTATAGTTTTTTTTAAATTGTACTTTTAACACAAACAGTTCTCTTAAGAACTAAATTTTCAAGTTTTTATTATTGTATTTCTTGAAATTGTGGAAAATATGCTGAAGCATTTAAACAGTCTAAACAAAGAGATTGTAGCTTCCATGATAAACTTTTTGAACACGAACGTGACAATAAAGGTCTTTTATTACCTTATTAATTGCACTCTGAGAAGTAAGTTTGATTGGCAAGCACATTATACCACTTTTAAATAGGGATGTTCGGTCGTAAGATTTCAGTACCGGTATCCGGTATCACAAAGTACCGGTCCTACAACCGGTATACCGGTTCCAACAATTAGATTGGTGGGACCGATACTGAACCGGTATACCGGCTGGGCCGGAAGACCGGTTGGAACGGAAAACCGGATGAACCGGAATATCGGATATACATGAGTGATTCATGAGTAAGATGCTTTACTTGAATTTTAGATGTACTAAAAAAGAAGACTAGATTACTAGACAAAACTAGACTAACAATGCATTAAACATACATTAAAATAAATTACATTGCATGTTCCTGACCATATTATACCGAATGATCGATGACAGCGATGATAAAATGACAGCGATCTTCATTTCATAGCCATCGCTGACGCAGTTTTTTTTGATCATATTGTACCTAGAATAGGACAACACAATCAGCTTTACACAAAAACCGGTATCCGGTACCGAAAACGTTTTATACAGTTTTTTTTATTTTCATATTATCATAAATCTACTTTGCTGTACCGATTGAAACCGGTCCTCCGGTATTGATTGAAACCGGTCTTTCAAGATCGATTTAAACCGGTCTTCCGGTACCGGTACTGAAACCGGTATACCGGTCTTGTAAAAAACGATACCGATACCGGAATAATATTCCGGTATTGAATTATTATTTCAAAAGTACCTGTACCGGTATATCGGAAGACCGAACATGCCTACTTTCAAAGTTATTTCCACGTTCGTTTTTATTAAATTCTCTGATTATTAGTTTGTGCATTAATCGCACCCTCGTACTTGTTATTACCACTTGTGGTGTTGTAAGATTGTACATCAATAAATAAATAAATAACCCATAATAACGCTTAGAATAATCTTCATAATGGACTAGTTTTTGGCAATATAGTTATGGACTAGTTTTTGGCATATGTAATAAGTATAAAATAAGCTATAAAACAAATCAATTAATTACTAAAATATTAATTATTAAATTAAAAACAAAACGTAAAAATCTTTAAAAAATGAAATAATAAATATATTGTTTCCCAATTTTACATTAAGATTCATCTCATAAATCCATCACAGTCTGGCAGTGCTGCCTAATCGCTTAATTCAAAGTTGATCACATGCATCGGAAATTGTTTTGCCATTACCGTAAATAATATTCCATCTTTAACTATAAAATATAGTTTTCTCTTTTCCAAATTTTACTATTTGTTTTTTTTTTGTTGTCTTAGAAAACAGTTGATGGTATTTCTATTTTATTTATTTATTAGGTGATAGAATAGAAGACAACGAATCTAGTACGGAATCAACTAACAAAAGAGAAAGTACAGCGAGTACAGATAGTGGTAATTTGAAAATCGAAGATGGCGACGATAAGAGAAAAAGCACTGGTAGTATAAGCAGTTTGAAGAAGTTATGGGAAGCCAAGGACTCCGACTATGGCAGTCTTCAACTAAGTCCCAAATTGTCTTTGAAGAATACAAAGGGGGATGATATTTCGGAGCATTCTCCGATCGATAATTCTGATGATTCTTCAAAGATGGAGAGAAGTGTTAGTTCAGGTACGCTTGATAATATTCTTTATATTAAATTAATGCCATTTAACGCTAGTAATTATTTAGAATAAATTTTCAGACACCCTGTAATTTGCTATAGATGATAACCCTGAGAGTAGTATTTTTATTAATGAAACACAATATGTAAGTGAAAAAACTTTGCTGCAGGTTTGGTTTCAAAAACATATGTGAGGTAAACCTTTTTCAAATTTACCTTTATTTCAATCGTAGAAACTAAAAATCTAATGATATATAGAGTGTTCCAGTTAAAAAATACAGCTTTGATATTTATTATTTATTTGAGACACCCTGTACCAACTGAAAATAATTTTAAATTGTACCCCAGTTCTCACAATTTTTAAAAATGTAATCATTTAACTACAATACCAGCATCATAACTATTGCGAGTATAGTACCCTATATGTTAATATTAATTTTTGACATTTTTTAATAAAAAAATAAACGTCTAAAGGTTGATCCTACAAAAATTATTATCAATCGTTATTTTAAAGGTCGCTGTGTCGTCGTTTTTAATCGTATCGATACAGGGTGAGGCGTAAATAAGTCAATATTTTTGGTATATTTCGATCCCAGAAACACATGTATGGAATTATTTATTTTTTCGAGGGAAGAAGAAATGAAAACAGAAAAAATCCGTTGGTTCCCGAGATCGAAGCAAAAAATAGTAATAATATTATTAATAGTATTTTTTTCTTTTTATAACATAGAATAACTTAGCTATTATCGACTTATTTGAGAAACGGCAAAGAGAAAATTATTTCTTTTATTAAGATCTATCAATCCTGAAATTATTTGCACTATTAAATACTCACCCTGTATATAATATATTTAAAATATTTTTATAAGGAAATAATTTCGGTTTTTCAGAAAAATCCACTACAAAAAGCGATAAGAAATCTTGGCTACCGGGTACCGAAGAAAAGCCTGTCATTCCTATTAAACCTCCTGTTAAAGCTGTTAAACCTTTAGTCACACGACCATTAGGTCCTACCATATATGCTACGCCCATAGCGCCAGGAACCAAACCTCCCATATCCGTGAAACCTGTTAGTACCGAGACGAACAACGCTAATAACACCAACAAATCTCCAGACGAAGATAGTCAAAAAATGACGACTTCGACCAGTTCAGTGGATAAAACTGGAAAGGAGAATATTTTGGAAATTTCTCAGGCTTTGGAGAGTACTTTAAACACTATAAAGTAAGTAATTTCGAATTGATTTTTAAGATATTTGAATAATTCATACCTTATATGCTCGTTCTAAAATCAGTGGTCTGGATTTTAACAAACAGTTCATACCAAATAAACCTTTAGTCATGTGATTAACCTTGAGATTTTTAAATTAATTGTTGCCAACTATGGATATATTCGACCCCATGCTGATTAACTGGAATTTAAATTTCGCGCTCAGGTGGTAGCTGGGCTGTAAAAAATGTCAAGTTGCCCCATTTATTTGTTTATTTCCTGACATTGTCATTCGTTTTGTATTACCAGTTTTTTTTAGTTTAAAAAGCATTTTTTTACTAATAATTTGATACCACACACTTGGTATTTTGAGTCAAATAGTCGTACAATTTCAAATAAACCATATGCCAAAATGTCAAAAGTTGACATATGATATGTCATTCAATTCAGAGTGTCATTTTCTATCGAATAAAATAAAAAAATACCGAGGGTACCATTTAAAAATCAAAAGTTGTAGTCATTTCCGGTGAAACCGGAAGTGACCGAAAACAATTGTGACAAAAAGTGACCGAAAACACGTCAATCAATGTCAATTTATGTCATATACATACCAAATATCGTTTTTTTATCTGAAAAAATAAAAATGTTATAGGAGTGGGCCACTTTTGAGATGCACCCGGTATAACGCAACGCACGTCCTTAATTCCTTACATGCACCGTAAAAAAATAAATAACTGCTCAGCAAGTAGCATTTATTAGCAGTACTAATTTAAAAAATCTGTAACTGTAAGTAGATATATTTAATTTACTTACCATTGTATCCTTCGGAAGCCCGGTGTACAATAATTAAACTCCATCATAAAAAATAACTAAGAGTCTATACAAAACACAATTGTCCCACCATTTTTAAAAAACATTGTCTTAAACGGAATACTGCCAAAAGATCTGAAGGAATTTAATTTTACAATAATTCGACAAATCAAAACGAAATCAAACCGTAAAGTCACAACAAAAGCGTCTCTGAATGTCCCGTGTCAGTTAAAAATCAAATTTTATTATTGTCAGATATTGATATTGGTATTTGCATTGTTAATATTTATTATTTATTTGCATTGTTGATATTAACAGTTTTAATATTTTAATATTTTGCGCCTCTGCATCTTGGAGGAAAAACTATTTTTAATGAACTGTCATTTAAGCTTCCCAGCCATGACCATTTAAGGTTCTCAGCCATGACTTTCGCTTACCGCTTTGAAAGCGTAACGTTTTTACGTCAAAGTTCCAGAATTCGGGCCCAAGAGTGACAAATAAGTGTTTTGGAGTATTTAACAATATATGCATTATTTTTTACATAATTGTTCATTGTTATTTTTAGAACTACTCCAGCCGTATCGGCGGCAGCGTGGCTTCAGTTGTCGGACAAGATAGGCCTTCTGCACGGTTCCTGTATGGACTACGCGGACAACGTGGTACCCGCCCATACGAAATTTCAGTTTAGGGAACTGCTGAACCGACTGGAACTGCAGGGCAGGCAGATGAGGTCGGCCAGCAGCCGAAACCAAACTGAGAATACTAGGTGCATTAACGAAGTCAACAATACTATCAAAGATGTTGTGAATGTCGTATTCCGATAGAAAACAATATAATATTAGCTTTTTTCAAGCTTCGGTCTTGGTTTAACTGGTTCATCGCGACTGCATTGGAAAGGTTTTTTTTTGAGAATTTATAAAATTTATCAAGTGTTTTATCTTTCTGATGACCGACACCCGATATAATTTAAGCACAGGGTGTGCTAAAAAGTTTGCAACAAATGGAAACATCATTTATCATGGATTTTTATAAAAAAAAAATGTATGGGGAATTGTTTCAGCATACACAATAACATAAAATAAATATTTTGACATATATGTCATCTAATAACTGTGTAACGCTTGTACTTTCTAAAGAGCAGCTACTGACGCTGAGTTGTCTTAAAGTCTTTCTCGGGCGCCACCTCTAATAGTTGAGAGGTTAGAGGTCCACTATTGCCAGTATGGGTAGCTTTTATACCCATTTCATTTTATACTCATTCCAGTGGAGAATCTAGAAAGTTGGGTTAAAATCAGTTAAAGTATCCGATGTAAAATAAAAAAAGGTAATTCAATATAAAATTAAATAAAACAGAATAATGTTAAAGCAAGCTTAACTTTCACGGCGAAAACACAATAGATTTTAGTTTGATAAACATTTATTGATACAAAAACTATTCAGTCTGCAAATAAAGAAATACCCTGAATTCCTTCAAGACATTACTACAAATCAAAGAAATATTTAACTATTTTTGCCAGCAATAATAATTTTTGACTAGTAGTCTATCTGGATACTTGTTCTATCGAGACTTAACAAAGGTATATTAATAAGAACATAATAAAAATAACTTGGTTACAACTGTTAAGCTGAATTTATAAACTCGGCAGTTCAGTGGAAGTTCAGTTGACGTTCAAAATGTTCAACACTATTAAATGAATGCATACATTTATAAAGTCAGTTGGTCGGAAAGTTGACAGTTCGTTTTACGTTCAGGGGAGTTCAGAGATCTATATTTAAGATGGCAGTTCGCGACGCTCGGCAGTTGGAACAGCAGCCAATGAGTAAGCGCCTGTTGATCATGTGAAGCACAGAAAAGAGATGCATTGGAAAATTATCCTTACTGTTGTTTCGTTGTTTCGTTGTTTCTGTTTTTGTAATGTTTATATTTGCGCGATGTTGGATTATTACTCGGATTATTGTATTTGAACTTTGAAAATTATCAAAAGTATTTTCAAATTGAAAGTTTCACATTTACAAATCTAACCTACAACCGAAACTGACAGTTTATAAATGTAAAAATGTCGAACTTCAACTGCCACGAACATCCAACTGCAACTGAACGCCAACTCCCGAGTTTATAAATGCAGCTTTATGTTGATAAATTACAAAAATTCTTCAAAATTTAAAATATGGGATTATGTGACAAAAATGGTCAAAGATAAAATTTATTCAGTAGGTTAATTTTATATCTGTTTTTCTATACTTCTGTGGCGGATTCGTCCCTTCAAAAAAGTCCTATGGGTATTTCGCCACTTGTGCTGTTAAGAACATCTACAAAATAATAATTATTTTTGGTAAACACTGCTACCAACGGAGACTAACTTGTCAGCAGGGATTTACTGCAACACATTTGCCTAATGGACAAAAAATGCTTAATAGACGGAGAGCTACATAAAAAACCTTATCATCGTTACATGCGCCGGCGGCAAGTCTGGGAATGTGCATTTTATGGATTTTAGTTAGGGACCCCAAAACCTATAAACCTGCAAAGTTTCAAAACTTCCCGACTTTTTTCCAAGCATTGTTTGATCCCCAATGACTGAAATATTTGCCATAAAGGTGTTTGTCAGGATGGCGTTCATTGAATATCTGCGCAACCCGATTGCTACATTCATTATTTTTAAAATAAAGTTCGATTATTTCCACTTTTTTTTGCAAGTGAGTAAACCATAATTATTAAAAAGTTTAACGATATTGAGAAGAACTTCAACGCATAAGTCACTGAACATCTATCTAGCAACTACCGCACTTGATCGTTCAAACTTGTGGCAAGTGAAAAAATGCGTAAACATCTAGAAATAATAAGAAAAAACAGCAAATTGGTCGAAGGAATTTATCCTTATCATTTACTCTGATAAATGTTTAAATAAACTTTTCAAATTTCAATCCTTCATATCTTCTCAATGACTCGACCGATTTTCAAAAACGAAGCCGGAAAGTATAGAGAATAGAAAGCCCTTTTCATTGCGGTACCACTTGACCCCCCTTCCCATTTGAACAAAAATTGGGGGATGACACACCCGCTTAGAGGCTTGAAGATTTTGCAATCATTTTTGGGGCAAACGTTGCCCCCCTCACAAACAAAATTGACGTGTTTTTGAATTTTCTGAAAAAAAAATTACCCTGGCCGTTATGCCTTGCGGAACGTTTTCAATGGGCCACCCTGTATATATATATATATATTTTTTGTGAACGTTCCTGATGTATGAAACTTGAAACAGCTGTAAAATAAATTCCATATATACTTTTTTTAATAACTCAGTAATAAAAAAATCTCATTTGTTGCAAACTTTTTCGTACACTCTGTATATTTTGAAAATTAGTAGAAAAGCACTATAGCATGTTAATATTTTTTATCAACTTACCAGCTTTGATTTATTTTCAAAAAATACTATTAAAAATTCATTTGATAGAAGTGATATAAAAATAAACCGAAATCCTTTCCATGCAGTTAATAAAATAAAAAAAAAGAATAAAGTTATTTTCCGCTCACTATTTTAATAAATCAACAAATGAAAGTACATAAGAAACTTATGTAATGAATTACCATTTGACATAAGGACCATTTGAATTCTTCGTTTGAAGAAGATTCCTTATACGTTTTTTCGATAAGTGCATGTGTGATGTGAATTAGTAATTTTTTTGTAAATTATAATTTGGCCTTTTATTTGAGGGTTTGCCTTATGTTTTTGAAAACGCTGCAATACGATAACTGGGAATATTCTAATTTAAAATAGATGAGAAACAAAGTCAAATAAGTGGACCAATTTATTTACATTTTTTTAAAAAATTAGTTAATGACGTTTCGTATTATTTTAATATTGATTGCTCTTTTACGTTGTGATATATTTTTTTACAGAAGTGAAATATCTAATATATAGGGTGTGCCAAAAAGTTACTAACAAGTGGGATTTTGTCAAGAACAGTTAACTTAATAGGTTTGCTCATTCAGCCGAAAGTTTCTGCCATGTGCAAGCGAAAACTCCTCGCTTTCTGACGTCAGTCGTAGCCCTCAACGGATTTTTTATTATTCGGGCGCTATGTGTACGTGTGAGTTACTTACTTTTTTTTTTCACTTTTATTTGTCGATTTTAATTGTGAAAAAGGTGTTTTTAAAGTTTTCTAAGTTACAGAATGTACAAATACTTTCATTTTGTGTTGTGGATTGTGACTACGATATTGTTTATTAATTATTTTAAAGCAAAATATGGGAGTACTCTAAAAAGAATGCCTACCAAAGTGATGTTAGGAACTGCTCTTCTTAAAAATACATATCCGAGTATTTAATACGATTTATACAGTTAATTTTCTATACTGCATACATATATAAGGTGTTTAAATAAATAACCTAAATAATGAATGTTTTACTTTATATTTTTACTAAAATTCAACATTAGAGGTTTACAAATTTGCATAAATTGGCATTAAAAGGGTACCAAAAAGGCATAGAATATTATTACGTTACTACATTTGCCTTTTTTTATTTATTCCTAACAGTGTTACTGATAATGCTAGAGTTATTTGAAATATTACGAAACCTAACCAAATCTTACCATATCACAATTATTAGGGCATCTAGGTGACTGAACATCTGTATGTGTTTCTGGCACTAAATTAAAATAAATTACATTTGAATTAAATTAAACAACACTGCATCTAGTACATGGTAACTATATTCTTGATAACTCGCTAACAAATTCACAGTGCATACAAAAACAATTCTCATATCATTTGATGGTCCTACACTATCACCATTTTTATCTATTCATAACAGCGCGAGAAAAGAATCATAAGTGTTTTTTACATAAAAATATAATATCTGTAATATGAAACTATTCTATTTGGTATTATTTACATTTTTTTAGTTTTCTGCTAGCATCATCTTTTGCAGGCATTCTTTTTAGATTGCTTCCATATTTTGCTTTAAAGCAATTAATAAACAATATCGTAGGCACTTAGTCACAATCCACAACACAAAATGAAAGTATACACTCTAGAGCTCCAAAAAAACTTTAATAACACTTTTTTTCACAAATAAAATTGACAAAATAATTAACATAAACGTATACACAGCCTGAATCGTAACCAATCCGTCGGGGGCTACGGTTGACGTCACAACTGTCATCTGAAGCGCGGGAAGAAACGAACGTACGTCTTATGAGGATGAGCAATCCTATTAGTTTACCGTTCTTGGGATTTTCTAATTATTCCGTTACTGAAAAAAAATTGTTTGTGGAATTTCATTAGCATATCCAATAGCAAAAAATTACTATTATTCCGTTTACACAGAAAAAATGGGATAACTTTTTTTTTTGGAAAAAAATTCGTATGAATGTGACAAAATCAATCCAATAAAAGTATTTAATACAGTAATTTTACTTTATCGCAATAACTTTTTGTCGTTGCAATGGATTATACATTACATCAAAAAACACATTTAAACAAACTTTATAATCCCTCGAAATAATCTGCGCTACTGCAACAAGTTTGGTGTTTTAAAAATTGTCATGTTTTATTTTTACAGAACAATAAATAAAATATTGTATTAGGAATTATTATTGTTGGATTTACTTTGTTTCATATAATTTTAAAAATGAAAAATTAAGAAAAAATGCATTTTTTGTAATTATCTATGATTATCAATTATCAATTATATTATTATTATTATTATCAATTTTGAACAACTCTCCTCTTTCACATTTTTCGATATTTTTACACATAATTTTGTAATTTGCAAAATTGACATGTAATATTTTGCTTTTTGAAGTAATGCTCTATAAACTTATACTCCTATTCATTAACTTAATAATAAAAAATCCCATTCGTTGTGAAATTTTTGGTACACCTTGTAGAAAACATTACATTTACAAAATTAGACTGTTTACTTTTAAAGATAGAAAAAATATCAGGGTTTTCCAATTCTAAAAGTGTGCAAGTGATATTGGCTAACGAATATTTTTGTATCTAAAATTAACAAAAAGGATTTAAGACAATAATTCTTATTTAGTTACTATATTGCAGCGTCCTCGTCCTACTATTTTCACTAAACTGTGATACCTACCCTTTTTAGGTTATTTTTTTAACTGTAATTGTATGCTCAATTGTATTATTTGTTGTTGTTTTTTCTTTACCGATCTGATAAAACATTTCTTTGCGGAGTATACAACATAGGTCATTAACAAAAATTTTTTAAATGATTTTCAATTAAATTAATCAAGAATCATTGTTTTTATTCTGTTTTTTTATGAATTATAAAAAATATACATACAGGTTGTGGCAAAATA